CGTTTGCCATCCCTAATCACCGATCGCAGCGGCGGACACACGTGCTACCTATAGGGGAATCTCGAGGCTAGCCATGCACAAGGACCCTTTATACTCTTCTCTCTTCTGGGGAGAAGCAGCTTTGAGTATTGAAATCAATCCCTCAACCCTTGACAGATGACAGCAAAAAGGAAACTAATAAAAATTCATTTCTCTTCACTCGAACAAGGCATAGTACTTTCAACAGAGACCAATAATATTATTATTCTCCATCATGATGTGAGCGAACTATGTTGCCCCCGGAGACTATCTTAGTCACGGGCATGCATTGGAATGCACAGAGACATTATGCAGAATAAAACATCAGGAATGTTCCTACCATCATCTAATTATCATAAAATATATGAACTTTAAAAAGAATTTTTCGAACTTTTATGATGGATCCAGTCCACTCGTGAACCAAGCGATCTCATTTTATTAGATCAAGCTGAGACCCGTATTTTCGACGACTGAGATTCATCTTATCCAAGACGATGAATCGGATCTGGACAAGAATTTAAAGAAAAGAAAATTAATCTTGGAAGAGATGGAAACTTTCTATGGTGACTGCAAGTACAATGCAACTCTCAATCCAAAGTCGTTCAGCGATTAATTTTAGGAAGTGTTCGCTTAGCTTATATGATTACACTAACTAACTAATTTTCGTTGATAAAATATAACAATATATTCCATATAAATTGCACTTAGTATGGAAATAGTACAAGCATAAATAAAATATGAAGCTGCGTTTCTCATTCTTAATGGAAAAAAGTGCCACTTATAATTTTATTTTACATATCATTATGCGTGGCCGTAGTTCAAATCTAGCGAATCATTAATATATTCCAAAATTAAATAGGTTTTTATTGCACATGAGTTATACTTATTTAAATGGTTCGTGGATTGGAAACTTTGTTTGTAATGAACAATCATGTGACAAGAAAGTTATAGACTCGGAAAAGAAAAAAAGGGGTTAAAAGGGTAGAAATTCATTTTGTCTAGATTTGGTCCATTTCGGCCGTTGATCATATACGCTTCATGTGCTGTCTATGCAAATCCCACATGTATAGCTATTGGGAAAAATTGTCCAAAAAATTCTAAATCTATTGCACTTTGACCAATTTAGTCCTAAACATTTCAATTTTGCCAATTAAGTCATAAACATTTTCACGTTTTGCCAATTGAGTCTATTCGGCCAATTTTAGCCGGAAAATCGCTGACGTGGATGCCAGCTATTCTACGTGGCACGATAGATGCTGACGTGGGCAATTATATATATTAAAAAAAATTAAATTTTTTTTTTCTTTTTTTCCTTCCAACCCCGGAGAAGGTCGCGGCCCTCATCCAGTGGCCGACGAGCGCTCGCCGGATTTGGTAAAGAAAAAGGAAAAGAAAAAAAAGAAAAAGAAAAAAAAGAAAAAAGAAAAGAAAAAATTTTATTAAAAAATTTATCAACGTCAACATCAGCCATCTTACGCGACACTATCGGCGTCCACATTAACGATTTCCAGTTAAAATTGACAGGATTGACTCAATTGACAAAACATAAAAATGTTTAGAATTCAATTGGCAAAATTGAAAAGTTTAGGATTCAATTAGCCAAAGTACAATAGGTTTAGAACTTTTTGGAAAATTTTCCCGAAATCGGTTTAACGGACTGAGATCCAAGCAAAAATAAGAGGAGACATACTGCGATAATTAAATAGGACAAAGGACGGTATATACCTGCAGATTGCTCATCATAAACATCCATCTGCCAAGACATTCTTACAAGCATGCGGCTATCGCATGACTATCTACATCGCATTACGAAATGCCAAATGTTATGAACTTTCTTTCCCTCCATATATTAATAACTTTTAGAGCAAACATTTGAGATCGGTCGACTGAAAAGTTCAACACGCGGTATTTCGAAAGAACCCTAAACATCATCCTCTCATCGAACACGTCGTAAGTCTCTACTCGGATCATCAAACTAATCAAGTAGAATAACACATAAAAACACTACGCACGTGCATGTACTCCAAAATATCAAATTCAGTTCTCTCCCTAAAGAATTGCATGGTTGAAACTACAGTGGAATTCGTACGTTCTCTTTTCCAAAGGACGTTCGTCTGAAGGATTCCCCGTGAAGTCAAAGGGGAGGCCTGTCTGGTCAGAAACCCTAGGGAAAGGGCGAGGAATTGCGAGACTCATGATGCGAAACTTCACCAATTTGTCTCAGTGGTCCATCACCAACCAAGCCAACTCATCTGATCGATTCCTTTGAGAGAGAGAGAGAGAGAGAGAGAGAGAGAGAGAGAGAGAGAGAGAGTAGGGAGACGAAGACGTGGGAATCTTGCTGCTGGATTTCACGCACTGATTCAACAGCATGACATGACATGAAATGTGTGTCAGGGTTTTGATGATGTCGTGGTGCAATACGTGTCGAGCGTTAATGTTCTTTCCATGCAGGATCGACATCGATGTCATCGCTACCTTCCAAGGTTCCCCCCATGTCGTAGTCGGAATGTGATGTCTCTTCGAAGGAGGGACAGAACGAGGAACAAGAATCATCAGAAGCAGCATCAGCAGCTGCGTGGAAGAAAATCTTCCTCACATCATGCTGGAAGCAGAGATCTTTGAACTGAACGACCCCATTAGTGGGAAATATCCTGCATTGGATAGTCTCTTGCAGCATCTTTCTTAACCCGTCATGTTCCTCCTCGAGCAGTTGGAAGATGATAAGAGAAAGTGAGGTACTCAACTCTTTATAGTGGACATTGATCTCTGTAGGGAAAATTGTCAAATCAGTCCTAAACCTATTGTACGGCGGTCAATTCAGTCCTAAACCTTTTAATTTTGTCAATTCAGTCCTAAACCTTTCTAATTCTTGCCAATTCACTCCTTCCGGCCAATTTTGGCCGGCCGGCGCTGACGTGGCCGCCGGCCGTCCGGCCAACGCTGACGTGGCAATTTTTTTATTATTTTTTTAAAAATTTTTAATCTTTTTTTTTTTTCTGTTTTTTTTTCTTTTTTCTTCCTCTGGCCGGTCCGGCGACCGGCGGCCGGCCAGAGGGGAGGGCCGGCGAGGTCGACCTCGTCGGCCTCGCCGCGGCTGGGCGAGGCGAGGCCCGGCCGTGGCGCGACCAACCTCGCCGTCGCTGGGTCGCGACGGCGAGGTCGAACCTCGCCCGGATCCGGCGAGGCTCGACCTCGCCGTCGCGTGGGCGAGGTTCGACCTCGCCGTCGCGACCAGGCGACGGCGAGGTCGAGCCTCGCACAGATCTGGCGAGGTTCGACCTCGCCGTCGCCTGGGTCGCGACGGCGAGGTCGGCCTCGCCTCAGCAGCGGCGAGGCCGGCGAGGTCGACCTCGTCGGCCCTCCCCTCTGGCCGGCCGCCGGTTGGCGGACCGGCCAGAGGAAGAAAAAAGAAAAAAGAAAAAGAAAAAATAATAAAAAATTGCCACGTCAGCGCTGGCCGGCCAAAATTGGCCAGAAGAATTGAATTGGCAAGAATTAGAAAGGTTTAGGACTGAATTGGCCGCCGTACAATAGGTTTAGGACTGATTTGACAATTTTCCCGATCTCTGCATTAGTATCTTCAATCCACCGTTCAGGGAAAACGACCTGTTACCTTGTTAAAAATCGACGATTGAGATTTTCTCAATATGCTAACATCTCAAAACCCTAATCATCATCGCACAATTTTGAGTGGGATTTTTTCGGCAATAAGTTTTCATAACGTTTGTGATTTTTCTCAATGAAAAAGGGTACCTGACAATCCGCTTAATTTCAACGGTCGGTTCACCGGTGAACGTGATGAGCTGAAGCCATTTTGTCCGAGAAATCGAGATGGATCCGGATCATGACTAATGTAACCAAATTAACTCAAATTTCACTGTGAAGACGTACATTTTGCCCTCTTTCTCTTGATTTTTCATTTTTTTTCATTTTTGGGAGTTTGTTGGTCCCAATGAGATAATTTATATAGCAACTATGCACTTCTAAGTATGTCCGGAGGAACTCGAGATGCATCCGCACCTACCATTCCCAATTGCCGAGAGAACAATCGAATTAACTAATTGACTATTCGTTGGATCTTATGGTAATAATTAATTTTCTAGGGGAACTCGAAAAGACAGTGCCCTGACAAGGTCATATGCTTCTTAAAGTTAGAGATGACCCTAAAAGAAAAACATCCACAAAGATACCTTTTCATAATGACACATATACCTCTGTTTTTTTATGTCAAGATATATAATGCACGATTCTCTAGCAACTTCCTTTTATTATGATATTTCATGTGGAAGTTGAATTCGAAATTGTCATCTCTAAGATCTCAAAATGTTGGAGAACAACGCCTATATATATTTATTTATCTTAAACAGATGAATATCATAAGTAACTAAGGGACCAAAATTTGTGGAAATGTTTAAATTTCCAAATGACTTTATTAATGAGGGCTTCACGTACTTGTTGAGTACTTAATCAAGGAAACTTTAGAGCGTAATCCTGCTTTGGAACATAATTTTTTCTCTCATTGAGTATGCTTAATAAGTTCCTTAATGGCGCTCATCAACGTGACCCGCTTTCAAATGTAGATTTTCACGTGTAACTTTGTTTGGGCTTAAAGAGCTTAGAGAGAAATTGTCATTTATAATCCATTTTTATGGGTGAAGTTATCGCATATCACGAGATATTGATCAGCCTACAATACACATGATATGGCAATACACCTTTTAACTCATTTATGTATAGTGATATTAGATCTGTCTATATATTGTGTCATCTCACCTTTCTGTGGGAGATTTTTAGAGGTTTTGTTGGGCAATACGTTTCGGTTCACCCTGGCCAATTACCGCATTGGAGGTGCTATAAATGTGAGAGAAAATAAGGAAACTTGTGATTCGTTGACTCACGGTGATTGGCTGAGGTGGATAAGAACGTTGTGCTCGGTATATACTTAAAAGTTTTTCTATATTCATCGCATTGCCTTTATAAAAAGTTCTATATCCTACATATAATTAATCTAACTCATTTTCCTAGATGGAGAGAGAGAGAGCGCTTATAACTTGAAAAGAAGCAAAGGCATGCCCAGAGGGATGGTGTGAGAGAGATCATGGCATTCACATTGGAGATGGAGACCAGCAGCAATGGCAGCAGAAGCTCTGCAGGTGAAGAGCATGAACATCACCACCACCACCACCATCGTCACCAGCCGGCGTTGTCTGTGGAGTCGCAGAAGGCGGTGCCGGCGCCATTCCTGACCAAGACTTACCAGCTGGTGGACGACCCGCGTACCGACCACATTGTGTCGTGGGGTGAAGAAGATGCCACCTTCGTCGTCTGGCGCCCCGCCGAGTTCGCCCGCGACCTCCTCCCCAACTACTTCAAGCACAACAACTTCTCCAGCTTCGTCCGCCAGCTCAACACCTATGTAAACCCCCCTGACTCCAATTCTTATAAATCTTGATTTTTCTGCAATTATTCATTCGATGTTTTTTATTTCCCCATGATCTAAAGATCAGTGAATGAAAAATTTATTTTGTTGAATGCTTATATGCATCTATATACATATCTGCAGTAGTTCATTGGCATTGATCTATGAGATACTTTTTGGGAGTATATCTAAATTACTAGCTTAAATTCTTGAATTATTGGCAGGGATTCAAGAAGATAGTGGCGGATAGATGGGAGTTTGCAAACGAGTACTTCAGAAAAGGAGCGAAGCACCTCTTATGCGAAATCCACCGCAGGAAAACCCCACAACACAACCAAGACCTGCCGTCGCCGCCACTGCCCCATTTCTTCCAACCGGTTGACGAGAATCTCTGCTGGCCACCAGCCGATCTGCCATTCCCGCCACAGCCGAAACCACACCTGAACGGCGGCGATGTCCTCGCTGCGCTGAATGAGGACAACCAAAGGCTAAGGAGGAAGAACTTGATGCTACTCTCGGAGCTCACCCACATGAAGAGTCTCTACAACGACATCATCTACTTCATCCAGAACCATGTCAAACCACTGCCTCATGACCCGACGAACAACCGCAGCCACCTTGACAGCATCAGAGTTCCCAAGCTCATCGAGTTGGATTTGGATCACGAAGGCGTCGCGTGCTCACGGGCAGCAACGTTCAAGAAGGCCGGGCACTCGGGCGAGGAGGCCGGCAGAGGCAGTAACTTCAAGCTCTTTGGGGTGTCTTTGAGCGGCAAGAAGAGGCTGCACCCGGAAAAGATTGATCGGCAAGAGCTGCAACTGTGACATCCTCTCTCGATCATAATAATTCATGAACTAGGGACAAATAATGGTAGTCGTTTCAAAGTTTAGTTCTCATTGTGGACTAGGGCATGCACTAACTTATTAGAGTGAGATCAATCGAAGTTGAAAAATGGACAACTTCATGACCGATCAAATATGTAACGTTTGGACCTTTTGAGTTATCATATGCTCGCTGAGGCTCTCTTGCTGTGTGAAGTTATTAGGTGATCACTTTTTTTTACGGTCGGATAATAACATATAGATAGGTACAATATCTTTACTCAATTCGACTCGTCGAATCGGTCTTTAAATGATTCGATCTATGACTAAAATTGAGGATTTTCATAAGGCGAACCGGAGCAAGATTAAATCGGAAAACATGCTTAATTCCACATCAACCCAAAAATTGAGGAGGAGTTTGTAGCTCTTATGCATTCAGTCTAGAGTTAACGAAGCACAGTACTCGTCAAAACTCTCCGCATTAGTTAACCTTACAAAAATTTTCTTTTCTAGGAAATTATGGGGAACGAAGGCGATGAATCGTAAGAAGATAAATGACCTCCATGCATTTCAATTTTTTCTTTTTCGTGAATATTTCAATTTGCTAAGTGTTATTTTTAGAAAAATAATTTTGACGTACGACATATAGTTTTTAGGGAAAATGTCAATTAAGGACTCAAAGTGGACAATATTTCAATTAAGGACCCAAAGTGCCTAAACTAGTCTCAAATAAGGACCCAGCTCGCCGGCCGGTGATCGTGAGACATTTTCCGGCGCCGGAATAGGGGCAATTTTTTCTTTTTCTTTCTTTTTTTCTTTTTCCTTTTTTTTTCTCTCTTCCCTCTTGTGGCCATCGCCGGTGACGTCGGGCGACGGCCACCCTCGCCTGGGCGGGCGAGGGTGGCCCTCGCTGGCGTCGAGCGAGGGTGGCCCTCACCTGGGCGGGCGAGAGCCGCCCTCGCCGGATCTGGCGAGGAACGCCCTCGCCAGCCCAGGCGAGGGCGACCCTCGCCAGCCCAGGCGAGGGCGACCCTCGCTCGACGCCGGCAAGGCCGAGGGCGGCCCTCGCCAGATCGGGAGAGGGCGAGGGCGAGGGTTGCCCTCGCTAGCCCAGGCGAGGGCGACCCTCTTCCGACCCCGGCAAGGCCGAGGGCGGCCCTCGCTGGATCGGGAGAGGGGGAGGGAGAGGATTGCCCTCGCCGGATCTGGCAAGGAACGCCCTCGCCAGCCCAGGCAAGGGCCACCCTCGCCCGACGCTGGTAAGGCCGAGGGCGGCCCTCACCGGATCGGGAGAGGGCGAGGGCGAGGGTTGCCCTTGCCGGATCTAGCGAGGAACGCCCTCGCCAGCCCAGGCGAGGGCGAACCTCGTCCGACGCCAGCAAGGCCGAGGGCAGGCCTCGCCGGATTGGGAGAGGGGGAGGGCGAGGGTTGCCCTCGCCGAATCTGGCAAGGAACGCCCTCGCGCGCCCAGACAAGGGCCACCCTCGCCCGACGCCGGCAAGGCCGAGGGCGGCCCTCGCCGGATCGGGAGAGGGCGAGGGCAAGGGTTGCCCTCGCCGGATCTGGTGAGGAACGCCTTCACCAGCCCAGGCGAGGGCGACCCTCGTCCGACGCTGGCAAGGCCGAGGGCGGCCCTCGCCGGATCGGGAGAGGGGGAGGGCGAGGGTTGCCCTCGCTGAATCTGGCAAGGAACGCCCTCGCCAGCCCAGGCAAGGGCCACCCTCGCCCGACGCTGGCAAGGCCGAGGGCGGCCCTCGCCGCAACCCTCGCTTGGGCTGGTGAGGCCAAGGGCAGCCCTCGCTGAATCTAGGCGAGCAAGAGCCGCCCTCGCCCGACAACAGATCCGGCGAGGGCCGCCCTTGCCCTCGCCTGAGGCCGGCAGACGTCGCCGGCGATGGTCACAAGAGGGAAGAGAGTAAAGAAAAAGGGAAAAAGAAAAAAAAAAAAAAGAAAAAGACAAAATTACCCCTATTCAGGCACCGAAAAATATCTCACGATCGCCGGCCGACGAACATTTGGCCGGCCGGCGAGCTAGATCCTTATTTGAGATTAGTTTGGGCACTTTGGGTCCTTAATTGAAACATTGTCCACTTGGGATTTTTTTTGAAAAAAGAAACCCACTTTGGGTCCTTAATTGACATTTTCCCTAGTTTTTATGGGGCATTGTTATGGTGAACGGTGAAAAAGGACCATTGTGAAGCCTAGTACAAAGTTCAGATGAGCCCAAGATTGTCTTGGGCTGAATCTAATTGTGACCCAATTCGATGTTTGGGAATATGAATGGTTCAATAACTTCAATCAAATATCCTTTACATGGCCCAATTTTATTCGTGGGAAAAAAAATGCATGTCTTCATGATAAAGCCCCTTTTAAATTTTTTATGAACATTTTAAAGTTATATCATCTCCCTAATCGAAAAATGAAGTAGATTTTGATAGCCCATTTCGCTATTCATGGGCGGAAATTTGGGTTTGTGAACTATGTTAGGCAGGGTCGTGCCTAGATCTGGGCCGGCAATTTTTGACATGAATGGGTACGGACTTAATGTGAATAAGTTCTACAGCATAATTAATAATAATCTCGATTCATTTATATGGCACGGCATGACACGATTATGAAATATGATTATGAAATGTGAACACGGATTTGAACGGTCAACACTATCGAGATGCTTTAATGATCAATCAGCCTTTTTTTTTTGGACCATTTTTGCTCAGCAAGAAAAGAAATTTGGGTAATTGAGGGCAGTGATGAAAAAGCATAACCGCAGAATTAGAGAGAAATGAGATGATGGACAATGAGAAATGGCATGACTATACCAAACGGGCCAATAGAACAATGAAATTCAATTATATTATATCAAAAAAAGATTAAAACGGACTTATAGGTTATATCACCTTCAATATGAGATTGAAACATAAACAAATATGGAAAGAAAAATTGGAAATTCTATGCAGTATGAATCCTAATTGCAGAGAACAATTAATTTGGAAGTCCAAATTTCAGCCCAGAAAAGAGGGAAAAGGTCAAAAACATGCCCCTAATTTTGAACATTCCCCTCTGGGCCCAATCCAATTGAGTCATGAGAAATCAATTTTTCTTGGTGCTCTCTACGTAATAGAAAAGAGAACACAAAATTGAATACCCATAAATTACTTTAAAGAAAAAGAAGTATCATCTAGACTCGTTCTACCAAACCAATCACACCTTGACGAGTCGATAAACAGAAACACATCTTCACACGTCATTATTGCTTTATTTATTCCATGCCCGTCTCGAAATGTTCAATCATCGTGCTTTAATCGCGGGTCTAAACCGCATTTAACGATATTTTAGAAATATCATAGTTATTACTTTGACTAGTATTCATCTAAAAAAAAATGTGAAGGTTACTAGACGTTTTGTATTGTTTTTTGGGTTTGTGTGGGTCCAATCAAATTACATTATTACTTGTGCATGTGGACCGCAAGAGAAGAGACCAATGAGTCCCCTTCCTCATTGAATTATTAAAATTTCACTCAAATCGATTTGTGGGGGACTTTATCAAAGTTTGGACATCAAAATGTTCAAACTTTAGGAGACATTACTCATTTAAATCAAGCGACCCAATCGTGGAGCACATTGCTTTTAAGTTCCAAGACTTTTTGAGAATTTAAATGTGCTAATATGTCGTGTTAGCTAATTGTTCCACTGACTGCGAGGAATTAAAAAATGATAATAAAAAGATAAGGGAGATATTGCAATCAACGAGAGCTCGATCCACATAACTTTTTGGTCCACAATTATTTTAGAAAGTTCATCGATAATATGGGTGATTCGAAACATAGTGTTGGCGCATGATAAATTTTTATACTAATCAATAGCATTAGACATTGTTCATGAAAGCGGGATTTTCATAAATGACATGAATTTTAATGATGTCATTTGATATCTTCAATATAATTATAATATTCTTTTTGCGATAATATGCATTTGTATTTCAAATTTGACATGTAAATATAATAACCCATATCAAAGCTAAAATCTTTGGAAATGTCTTACTTATATTTTTTTTTATGAAATTCGAAGTACTCATCTCATTAATGGTCGCTGCATTAACACACTCGATATGCAAAAGTCTATTTTTACAGTAATAATCACAATTAGCCGATTCATACAAAGGCATCAAGTATTTCTTACGAATAAGTTTCTCTGCCAAGGGTCTCAATAAGTGATTTTAGGCAGACAATTTGATGAATTCTAAAAGGATAATGACATAAATGGTCTCTCAACTTTGACCCAATTTACAATGTGGTTCATGAACTTTTAATCCGTTCAATATGATCCCCGAACTTTAGCTAAATGTGCAATATGGTTTCTGGACTTTTTATTTGTTCAATGTAATCTTTGGATTTTTTATACATATTCAATTTAGTTCCTGAACTATACAAAAATGTTCATTATTGTCCTTTAATTAGTTCATGTTATGGACAATATTGAACATTTTCATATAAGTCAAGAACTAAGATTTCCGACAAAAAAGAAGAAGATTAAAATGAACATATACAAAAAGTTCAGGGATTACATTGAATAAATTTACAGTTTAGGGACCACATTGCACAAATTAAAAGTTCATGGACTACATCTCACAGCATGTTAAAATTCAGGGACTATTTGTATTATTTTCCTAATTCTAAAATATAAATAAAACAAATAAATATTTTATCGAATAACTTATGATTACAAAATTGCCCTTTTGCTTTTTTCTTCGAAAGTGGTTTCCCACCCTTCTTTTCGAGTCGAGCAAAGCCACGTTGCTTCCGCCATCCATTTGCAAAGTTTGGGAACGTGTGCCAATCGACTGCCGTGGAGTGTACAATAACTTGAGAATTAATTTACACATGCTAATTAAAAAATTTACGTTCACATCTAACAATAAATAAATAAATAAAATAATCAAGCCCCTTAATTTATTATTCAAAGCCCTTCGCGTCGGCTGATTAGCTATACGCGGCAATAGTGTAAACAGGACACGACGAAATAATAATCTATAATAAAAAAAATTGTTTTGGTGATACGGTGTTGACTAAGTAAAACATTAATTGTCAAATCCGCGTATCTACGTGTGATGATCGAAATATTATGGATCGGACCGGACCTGGTCTCGGTCGAACCTACACGAGGTACGTTTCGACGGAGAATAAAAATTACATGAAGTTGTTAATTTGGAGGCTAATTGAATGAATAAATAAAAGGGAAATATCAAGGAATGGAAGGACTGGATCTGCCGACCTCGTCCGATTTGATCCGTTCGAAGCAACCGAAAGGGTGATTTCTCCAACGAGTGAGTAATTAGTCGGCAGCTGTCATTTTTTTTTTCAATTTTTTTAAATTTTTACATTTCACTTTCGTTTCGAGACGGCCATTGTAATTTTTTTTAAAAATTTTTTCCGACAAGTCAATAATTCATTTCATTAGAGAGAGAAATTAAGGATGCTGTCATTTGTGATAGTTTGGTCATTTTGCAGGGGTCTTAGTTTTGTCCCAAGATTGTTTGTACAATTCCACGCGTCGTTCCGATGTAATGCGTAAATGGCCCGAGCAAAACACGATTTAACTTTCAATGCGGGTTAACGCGTGTGATTTGAGAATGGACCCGGCTCTTAACCGGTCGGACGGCGAAGGTGGTACAATAATTGCTTCCGAAATGGCAAAGGGAACATAATGAATCGAACGGTTTCCGCTCCCTAAATGACTATAACGACCTTTCGTCGTTGTTGCATCTATCCATTAATTCGAGCCACTTGTCCACTAATCCACGAGATTATAACCATGCATTGTTTTCGGGAAATGACATGTTGCTAGAGGCCTCGTATTTCTTGATGTCTTTTTGTAAAACCTAATTTTAATTTACTGTATGAAAAGTTTCTGCGAGTATTGCACTGTTCAATTTGATTATTCGCATTCACATATATATAAATATATATTTGTTTGGACATCAATATCGATTGATTATTTTATTGCATATAAGGCAAGATTTGTATGCTATGTTTGCTATGAATTCTTCTTTTATGTATTTCTGGAATTTAGTGAAGGTTTCATCACTATGTAGACTTCCAAGGCCTGCAGCTGCAAGTGGCAAGTTGTGCTGTGTTTGCTTAATTAGAAAAGAAAAATAGAAGAAGAAAAATCATTAGTTTAAATGGTGTTAAAGTACTCGATTTCTTTTGCTCAAAAAGAAAAAAAAAAGGAACATTTATTTTCAAAGAACATGAATTAATTAAAGAGAGAAAACAAGAAAGAGAAAAATAGTTTTCATACTTTTACTCAAATGAGTTTGTTATCCGAAAAATCAGAAATGATATTAAAAAAACAGAAATTCATAATCCTCATACTTTAGGTCTATTTCTTTGATAAATGTCCCGTCGGGTGTTTTCCTTTCAACTTTCGACGTGTTTGTCACGGTGGTATTTCGGTGGATACTAAGGCTGTACATGATAACCATTCTATTTTTATTTTTCTGTTCCAGAAACAAGTTTGGAACAGAAATCCGTTTAATAACGCAATTTCACTTGTCAATTTATGGAACAATTTTTTATTTTAGAAATAGGTTTGGAATAGAAATGAGAAGTAAAAATTTTTTACTTTTCTATTTCTAGAACAAAAATGGGAAATTTTTCTCATTGCTCGCCCTCGCTACTAGCCAGTCACACACTCACTGCCTATTGCTGCCCGCTTGCCGGCCGCTGCCTCCCGCCGTTCTCCATCTCCCGCTGACGGCTGCCGTCCGCCGGCTACCATCTCCCACCGACGGCCGCTCGCCTCCCGTCTCTCGCCGCCGCCCTCCTCCCGCCGCCAGTCGTCGCCCGCCTCCTGTCGCTGCCCTACGCCGCCCGCCTCCTGTCGCTGCCCTACGCCAGCCGCCTCCAGTCGCCATCCTCTGCACTGGCCGCGTCGCCGGCCGCCGCCGCCTCCCCCCACCGTTTGCTGCCACTGTCTGCCTCCTGCCATCCGCTGTCGCCCACCGTCCACTCGCCAGTCACTCGAGAGGGAGAAATTTTGTGCCGTTATCAAACAAATTTTTGTTTCGGGAACAGAAATTTTGTATCGTTATCAAACGTGTTTTTTGGCTCAGAAACTTGTCCAGGAACAGAAATAAAAAATGCCAGAAATTGACTTCTGAAACAGAATGGTTGTCATTCGCAGCCTAATAATTCCAAGTTTAGAATCTTGACGAGTTTGTTGTTGCTAATCACATTTTCGTTATCACATTGGATAATTAGTTTGTCATGGATCAGTTAATATATTTTAGTTGACTTATAACTCATTAACTTTTGAGTGAAAGTGAATCCAATTAAAAGTGTGCAAAAGAACCGGGAACTGTCCGGACCGACCCAGAACCGGCAATTCCCATGGGGACTGGTCCGGCTCCAGATTCCCGGTTTCCAATTCCAATTTACTAAAACCGGTGAAAATAAATTTTCCGATTTCAAGTGGGGACCGCCCACCCGGACCATACCGGTACATATATATTTTAATTTTTTTGTTTTTAGATGAAAACCCTAGTTTCCTCTTCGTCTCTCGCCTCACTCATCTCACGGCCTCGTCTCCCACTCTCACTCTCCCTCTCGGTGGTCTCCAGCTTCGTCAATCCCTCTGTCGCTCTTGCTCTCAATCGCCTCCAGCCTTGTCGCTCCCTCTGTCACTCTTGCTCTTGGTCGCTAGAGAAAACAAGGCAGCAATTTTGAACCCATAGCCATACTGGTCAGTTTGGCAGCAAGAGCGACGACACCTAGACAATCAAGACCGCCGAGTTTGACCAAGAAATAGATAGCAAAGATCATGGGCAGCAAGCAGCGTTAAGTGAACTCTGTGAAGGAAAAACCAGCATCAAGCAAGGACCAACAGGAGTGTCTAGCAATAGATCATAGATTCGCGTATGAATCGGCGCCGTATAGAGGCGAAAGTGTGGGTGACGAGAGACAACAAGTCCAGCGAAGAACTAGCAGCTTCATCGATGGAGATCTCGACAAAGTTTGGCGCAGGGCTGCTGCTTCGTGGCTCGGCAAAGCTCATGGCTAGCTTGTCGTGACAAAAGGGTGGCGTCATCGATGAGGTGACGGCGATGTGGTGCTTGGCCTCATGAGTTCTCGGCAAAGCTGGAGCTCGTCGAGGACAGGAGGGCGCGATGGTATAGGGATCATGGAGAACACTGGATGAGTTTGTTGGGAACATTTCAATCGGTTCCATGGACCCACCTTGGAACCGGACCGCCCCAGACAGACTAGATCAATGATCCGATTCCCGGTTCTAATTTTTTGAAATCGGTCTTTAGTGGGTGGTTCCCAATGCTAAGGTGGGAATCGCCCACCCTGAAATCGATTACCCCTAAATCCAATTGAATAAATCGACGGGTTTGAACTTGGGCTTTCTCTTGACTATCTCCCCAGGTGAAAATATCAAGGCTTCTGCTGCATGCTTTCATCAAATGGTATCAATGCCGATCGTTAATTGGGGCTCTATTTCCAATATGTTCAGGTGTTTGATAAATATCTCAAGAAAGGAATCTCGCGACCAACACTAGAAAGAGACTATGGATGGCAAACTCGAGAAAGAGACTATGAATGAAGGCAGTCGTCGATGAATATTCTAGTTGAGATATGTTCTTGCAGAAACATACGTGAACTAAGAAGAGCAGACTCAATACCGAGCTCACACACGAGAGGAGATTATTGAGATACACGTGAAGTGGAGTAGTTAATAGATTTTAATTAATTTAAAACTATTTGCTTAAATTTTTTACTGTGATGGGTTCTGAGTCGAATTCCCAAGTGAAGATATCGGAATATTTATATGGAGTTAAGATTACAAATCTTGGATGGTTAACCCAACTTATTTCCCGCCACACACGGTGCAGAAGAGAACATGATTTTCAACCAACCAACCCACATATGTACGCTTGCCCGTTAACGGTTTCCTCTTCTGGTTTTGCTGATTTCACGCCACATCGTTAAGCAAAAAAAAGGAGAAACTTTATTTGGGTAGGCAAAAGGATTTCACATTTAGAGAGAGAGAGAGAGAGGGAGAGAGGGAGAGAGGGGTGGGTGGAAATATGCGAATAAAAGTGGTTGGGACATCCTGCCCAATCCACACCAGAATTGTCTCTTTTCCCAGAACAGCCAAAACATTACTTCTTGCCCCCTCTCTCTCTCTCTCTCTCTCCCTCCCTCTGCAACCTATTCCTCCTGTCTGTCCACAAACTGTTTGTTGTTTTGCCCAAAGAAAGAAAAAACAGAGAGTTTGGGGAAGCTTGTTGGTGGAGGAGGAGGAGGAGGAAAGGAATTTTCCGGTCTGGGAGTAGTGAGGGGGCTCCCAGGCTTTCAAAACCACTCATCTTCCTCATATTGTTCTTCTCTCCTTCACCATCCTTGGTTTTCCCCATCATTGGATGGATTAGATTGTTGGGTTCTCCATATTGAGCTTGAAGCTCAACTACCCAGATCTGCTCCAGCTTCTGAAAGTTTGGGAGATCTTTGGCTATTTGGGCCTCTGTATCTAGACTTGCTTTCATTTGATTGCATTGAAACATTCATTTGTTTCATCAGCAGCTCATATTATAGCTGAAAGAAGCCAATCGTTTTCTTTTTTTTCCATTTACCCCATTGAGCATCAACTGCACCTTTGAATGCGAGCAGTTTGGGTGTATGTAGCATTGGTTGCTTTTCTTGAAACCGTTTACATAGAGGAAGAACAAGAAGCACTTGCTACCAGCATCTTGTGATTCTGGATTGGCTAAGCCAACTACCCACAAAAAAGTTTTGTCGCTTGAGGTGTCAACAGATAGAGAAGAAGCTCTCCGTTTATTTTAGTCAAGACTTTCAACGACGAGGCCCACTGGTGGGTTCGGTGGGCTTCATCAGACAAACAAGAACCCACAATTTTGAAGATCCCTCTTGGCCATTCTTTCATGAAATTATAGTGCGTTGAAGAACGAGAAGATAATTCTGTTTCCACTTGCAAAGTACCGTTCCTTTCCCTCTATTGGGTCCTCTACTCACCTTCCTTTATCACGTATTATACCGAAATTGATTTTGACTCATTTGGAATTTCATCTTTTCTGATGCTACTTTACTTCTTGTTCACTTGCCTCTCCTTCATCCTCTTTTTGAAGTCTCTCCCTCTCAAATCTCTCCCTGCATGGGCAAGTGAGATGTCATTGTTGTCACTCTGGAGCTATCAGGAGTTCTCTTCTTTCCGCACTTCTAGTTTGATGAATAGCTTTTGTAAAAGCTGTATTCCTCATACACGCTCTAAGATGTCCTTCAAGAAGATTAATCTTTCTTCCAGAGTAGATAATGTAGCGACCGGAGAGATGTTGGTATTAGATTTGCCCGAATTGGTCTTAGAATGCATCCTGGAGAGGCTTCCACCAGCTGAACTTTTTAACATGGCTGGTGTGTGTAGTTCTTTGAGGAATAGGTGTGTAAGTGATCACCTTTGGGAAAGGCACATGAAGCAAAAATGGGGCAGAGTCATTGGCCCAGCTGCATATCGGGAGTGGAAGTGGTATATCGCTAGTAGGAGGGAGATTTGCAATCTCAAACAAGGCAAACAAAGGGGGCTTTGGAGGCTCCTGTTTACTGTTTGGCCTTTATCATGGACTAAATCAAAACTTGATAACAGTGAAAAGCAGAGGATTCCCCTTCCAACCGATTCAATCATGTCTTGGTATCTTGCTCTTGAGACTGGCAAGTTCTGCTTCCCTGCTCAGGTTTACAACCGTGAGGTACATAAATAAAAAAAATACTTTCCAGCTATACAATTTCATTAGCTTCTCTTAAATTCATTTTGTTTCTTCTGTTCGTGGATTTTGCTTGTATTTCAAGGGTATTGAGCTTCTGATTTAATTATATGTTCTTTTTTACCATGACAAAGTATGTTTTGTGCATTCTGCAGAATGGTCATGTGGGATTTATGTTGTCTTGCTACGATGCTGAGCTTAGTTATGACGCTCAAACCGACACCTTCCAAGCCAGGCAAGTGAATGATATTGCCTCCCCTGGAGCATGCTTATCAGATTAAGTCATGTACTAACAAGAGATGTATTTAGCTTATACTCCTGATCTTATTCTGTTTTAAATAGCAATCTGTCCGAGGAGGATCGGCATGTGCATCTTGATCTTTTCTCGTCTAATGTCTAATTGTCTGACTATGCAGGTACCCACCTCATGGAAGGAGAGCGGGTGCAATAGAAAGTAATGTCACATGGGAGAGACTAAGGGCACAACCTGTTGATACTCCTCCACATGATCTTCATATTTCTGACTGTCTGAATGACCTACATCCTGGTGACCACATTGAAATTCAGTGGAGGAGAAACAAAGAATTTCCTTATGGTACGTCTGATTAGCTAATTCCCTTGTCTTTACTTCATTTCTGTTCTTTTTCCATTTCTTGCTCGTGCTCGTCGAAGCAATTTCCATTTCAAAATGCAAGTAAATGGAAGCAATCGCTAAGTATACTCAGAAATGTTCTACCCTTTACTATCTTTGATATGTCATATTTTCATTTTATTGGGATAAAAGCCAGAATAATTGTTGCCGCTGATATGATTTTCATTAACGGATGACCTTCTCAGTATCTCATGACCATTGACTTACAAAGAGAGTTGGCCACGCCTAATTTCATAGCTTAGGTTTTACTGCTCGAGTACTGGCTGGCTGGTTGAACTACATAGTTAGCCTGTCAGAGGTGGAGAAAGGCTTGTTAGTTGCCTTTATCAGCATGAAATTGTTTTTAGAATGGTGGCTGCTGGGTATGACTTACATGATAAAAGTTACTTGAACTGCTAATGTAGATTGACAGTTTGTTCTGATGTATCATGGCCATTTCAGGTTGGTGGTATGGTGTTGTTGGTCACTTGGATTCATGTGATGGCAATGTGAACTACTGCCGGTGTCACAACAGTGGTGAGTTATCGATTTCATTTACAACTCAGTCAGATGAAACTATTCAAATTATGGAGTTCGATGCCTGTAAATGGGAGCAAAATATGACAAAATAGGGGAATCGTATTCTGATTGGTGATGGATGCATCTTTTCTTTTGAACTGTCACAACCATTTTGGAGTAGCATGTAGGGGACCAACTTCTCAGCTAATCAGCCAACTAGCATCATGTACAAATTTGACGTGTTCATTCTTGCAACACAAAGTTAACACCTTTGGAAACGTGGATGATAAGAAAGCACATTTTCCTTTCAGTTAATAGACATCTGCTTTGTCTTTGGTCCTTGGCAAGACCATACTTTCACTGTATGGGACCGCCGCTTGTTCCATTCTCATTGGTCCCCAGGACAAATCATTGTCAACATGTTATGCTGTTCACCAACAACGTGATAAAGCTTTGTCTGAGAGGAATAATTAAGGCCGACCATATTGAAGTTGCTCAATATTCCCTTTTGGAGTCTTATGGCATTGTGGGGCTCCAAAATTTATTCGAAGCTTAGCGAATCATTATAAATGCTTTTTTTTTTGTCTAAAATTCTTCTGAGCTACCCACCATTTCGTGTTGCTTCACCTATTCTATATCCTAGATGTGCCCCATGATAATGGAAACGCAAAATGGTCCCTTTTTCCTTTGCCACATCCATAGTTGACATGCTTACATGGTGGACAAGAAACAGACGAAGCACTTTAAGCGGCTTATGCACTTCTAGAAGAGGGACCTGTTCCAGTTTATATCATAATTGAGCAAGAGAAGCTTACCGAGGCCTTTGTCTACAACTTTAAGATACAGAGAGTTTTCCAGTAATGTTGAAGCCACAATTCTTCGTTTGAACTTCTATATGACTGAGATTACTCATAGCTAATCTTTTCATCGAACATTTTTATTTGTCATATTGAGATTCAAGTGCTCTGGTGAATAGCATAGGTGTCACACGTTGAGGCTTTTTAAAGCAAATTATTTTTCTCTGACTTTCCAGCCAAAGCTTGAACTATTATTTAATTATAGAGTTACAAAAAAAATTATATATAGTTCTACAGTTTAATATGTAATGTAATGGATATGGATATTTTCTTCGACTTCCCGCTCACATATTTTGTCGGAGTAGGCCGATAACAAAATGGATATTTTTGTTGACAGACACGGTGATGCTGGAGTTCAGACAGTATGCCCCAGGTTCGCGGTGGAGACATACGGCCATAAATAGGAGAAACCATAGGGAGGAGGGCAATGAAGCAGACGGTTTTTACGGAGGAATCAGAAAGCTTAAAAGCGAGAGAGAGATTTCAATGTGGAAGAGTCTGTGGCCAACGGAAGTACTGGAGTAGGTTCGGATGAAGTCTACTGGTGCAGCTAATTAATCTGAAGACTCCCCGATTCGAAAGTCAGAACATCGATTATTGAGTATAATTATTTTCTGCTCGGTCGAAGTGACTTGCACAGACTCTGACAGGCTTTTGACTGTGTTACATGAGGTGGCCCTCCAGAATTCCATTATTATATTCATCCTTTGGTATAATTTTTTGTGGGAGGATTAGTCCGTGGTCCAGATGATACTTCATGTGAATTGCCTCCCATTGATTGAAATTTGATGTACCATACTCAAGATAGTGCAAACAACATAGTTGATAAATTGAAAAGCGGCTGTAGTTCGATGAATCGGTACCTCTGGTTGTGTATATTTGGTCAATGCAGCACATTATCAGTTGCTATGGTGCAAAACTACTGGTTGCATTGTGGCACACTAATATATATTCGCGCCCATACCGTGAAAATTGAAGGAAGTGGGTCGGTAAATACGTAATGGGGTACGATGCGATTGGTATGTATATACCATGTCCATGCTATGTGAATGCCATGCTATTTTGACAGAGATAAACAGTTCCACTAGTCAAGATTCAAGAGCTTTTTTGAAGTTCTGAAGACAACATCAATTTGCAAATTTTGGAGTCTTGGGACAACTTGAAAAAAATCCCACCTTTCATTTTCTTACACCAACAAAGATGGGTACAGTAATGGAAATTGATATAAATATTTAGGGACTAGATATGTGGGTGAGTTGACAGGATCATCCAAATTCCAAAGCGTACAAGAACTGCAAGATTTTACCATGAATTCCTCCCAATTTGCGCCAACTTGAACTCAAACGACTACATATACCTTGACCTTCATTTCAGACCATAACCCAAACAAAGAAACAGCCTCGGCCTGTACTGCACAAGTGTCATCTTAGCCACTGTTGACCCTCTTCTCTGCTCATCATTCTGAGTAGTTGCTCCACCACTTCCAGTTGACTTAAAGCTCAATCTTCTCAGGATATTGACAGTGGGCCTCCAGATAGCTTTTACCTTTTCATCACCTTCTTTTCTTCCGGTGGCCGATGATGACATACTCCTCAGCAGAAACTTCCTGATCCTTTGCCTCTTACTCTCCCTCACAATGCACTCTCCATTTTGTCTCTTGCCCTCCTCAAATTTGCCATGTGGTTCTCGTTGTTTTGGGCTCTGCATGATAAATTGCTCATGTTGTTGAAGACTGGCTTGTTTTCTTTGGTTAGGCACCCATTTGGAAAAGGGCGGATTGGCGGAGTCCAGTGGCTCGACCGGCGGTTTTACAGGTGCTCGAGATGTTTCTTGCTCATTTTGCTGATTTTTCCTCCCCTTCAAGTCAGTGGACCTCCGCGGACTCTCAGCTTTGAAGCCCTGCAAATTGTATAGGAGATCATGGTGAGAGTTGGATTACCACGAAGCCTGCATTTACAACTCTATTCATTTAGACTTATCAAGGGAATACTATTTCTGCAATTTCATCGGATGTCATATAATCTCAAAATGTCGAGAACCTATCGACTCCACAACTCTAATTATTCAGTGGGAAGATTGAATGTTGACCGAATAATGTAGTGGCCGGTTACTGGTGTTATGGCTCCCTGCATAATGTACCACTTTGCTATATTTGGTTCACAGGCAAGTTAGAACAAGGACAAGTCCTATGAGGTGCTCGCCTCAGTGTTCTGCCAGTTTTCTAGAACTTACTACTAACTTTAATAATTCAAAATCCGCAGAAAATGAACTAACCCTGAATGGTGAGAGCGACTGAGTCTGCCCATGATCGTTAGCCTGCCTCGTCCTTCTTGCGCTGCTGTCTTCCTTGACATTCTCCAATGCCACCATGAACGGGTCGAAATCATCATTCCACAGGCTCTTGAACTGGAAGGGGACCTTAAAGCCTGATCTCGGGGACCTCGACGAAGGTGACCCAATAGGACTCTGATTTCCGCTCTTGCCCCCATAATAGGAACAAGGTGGAGGCTTCAAAGGCATCAATTTCCCATCACAGAAGAGCTCATCAGCAAAAGCCATTGAAGGGAGTGAGTCACCCCCCATTGGCCTTGCTTTCTTATGGAGTGGGGACTCGAGGTCCTGGCTCGCGATAAACTCGCCCGCATCGAAAACATGCCCCCAACTCGCATTGAACTCGAAGTCCAGATCAGAATCAGAGCTTGTCTGCTCACATGACCCTATCGGGTCTAATTTTCCGGCATCAAGATTATATGGAGGATATGCATTCTCTCTGCAGGGACTAGCCGATGCGCTGTAGAACAGTGAGACATTGCTCATTCTCAGTGCATCAGGACTGGTGGCTGCACTCACATAGGAAAAACTTGAATCATATGGAGAAAATGATGCCATTGATTTGAGTGTTCTCAGGAATTTCTTTTGCTCCTGAAAATCCAGAAAATGTTGCGGTGATATATAAGGATCATTTCGTGCTTTACTGACAAAACAATGATCAAAGCTTAGGCCTAATTGACGGCTAAAAAAATCGGACATTTCGGGTCAATTCACGGGACTCGGAAGCATAAGTTTATTATTATTCACTTTCTTCAGTGACTGAATATTTGTCTCATTCTGAGGGTTGGTCAGTTTTGGTTATTGTATATGGAACACGATTCCTTTGATGCTCAACTTTGTAATTTTCAGCCAAGGAGTAGAAAAAAGGATCCACAGTCAACGGAATGTTCTTTTTCTAAACTATTACTATTGTCAGGTCAATCGTCCACAGAACCAGACAGCACAAAAAATCTTCTGATGGACATCCTTTTTCCTTTTAATATAGAATGTTACAAATCTGTTGGTTGTCAGCTTATTCTGAGGGTACTTAGCATTTCTTAATAGCACTTGTTTAGCATACAATGACATAGACATCAGAATAAATTTCAGTGATATAGACCCATTGCAAGAACATTAAACAGGCAAAAATTGTCTTTACATTGCCAAATCACGTTTACACAATTACCTTAAAAGCACATGTCAGTATTTCCATCATCAAATTAGTTTGCTAACCCCGGATTATCAACATTATAATTACTGGGATTAACATTCTTTAGGTTGACATACCATGCCTTGCTTGCATGACTTTTACTGTACTTAACAATGTGTGGCATGACCAAATCGACTACCGATCCTTTTTCTCCAACAAATGCCTTCAACTTACTTGAGAAATTTTCACGTAAATTCATAACTAAATTCATCATATATAAAAAAGCCAAGGAAAATTACCGCCTCATATAAAAGCCTGTACATTTCTTATGCTATGATTAAATTTGTCTACCACATCGTCCATACAATACATCCAGAAGCAGCTTCAGATTCTCCGCTCAGTCAAACAAATTAGAGCTGGATACAAAGGAACGAACTGATGCAATTCAAAGACCAGGATCGAACATGTAGAATAACATCTCTTCTTCCTGGCACCAAATTTCCCATCTCATTATCATCAGGAACAGGAGTTACCTGCAGCGGAGGATGTGATATCATTGATGGAAAAATATCGTTTTATTCTTTTGGCCTTACTCTTACCTTCTTGGATAAGAGGAAGCCGCATTTCCTGCTCAAGAAGTGCAGACACTTGCTTAAAGACACATCACTGTCGAATACCTAAATTCGATCCTATCAACGATGTAAGAAAGTAATGGAAATTTGCACAACACAAGAATTTACGTGATTCAGCAGGGGAGATGTTCCGCCTACCTAGGTCCATGGGAAGAAAAGATCTGTTTCACTAATAACGTAGAAAAATATACAGCCACTTTTTCTCACATCCTGCCTCTGTTCTAGAGACCCGTTTCGCCCTAAATATATATAGTGAAACTCTACATGGCACAAATTACAAAGTTGCCCACATAACCTAAAATATTTAGCTTTCCCATATAAATTCTTCTATGACTGAACATAAAACGCCTCTGGCGGCCCGGGGGCGCTGCCCACGCGACCCCCGCCGGGCCGGCCCCCCCGGACCCCCGCCCGCTCACCGGGGAGCGGGACCCCCGTGCTGTCCAGTCGTCAGGGGGCCTTTCGAAACCGCCTCATAATCTCTTGGATAACAGAATACAAGACATCAACCTCAACAATCACAACCACCAAAGGGTTTGTCACGAGTCTTTTGATCTCTTGGAACATTAAGCTCAACCGGCACAAAAATTACCGGAAATTCAATTAGAAATACAAAAGACAAGTTTTCCTGCATCTGAAGAAATTAACTGTCTAATCCACTTCTAACATAGCACAAAACCTTTCAAAATTTCTATTATACCTTCCCGGGAAGAACTAGAAAGGAAAGTACACCAAACTCAAGTAAAACCAGGAAATCATCACTATATTCTGGCAGTAAAGGCTTTTGTGAGAAATGTGCGTTGCTAGCTTTTGCATCATGATCTTCAGAAGCCTGTCCTGGGATTGTTGTCTCCTCACAGAAGATTCGTCAGGTTCTTGTCTCTGTTGTTAAAAGATCTTGTATTTTTCATCTAATTATCATGGAATGCTTCTCTAAGCAAGCTTTCTTCACATTGAACATCCTGCAAGCACTAAATGCATCTGTCACAGAATGACTTCATAAATAGTCCCTTCTAGATTCCCCACAACAGATCGAGTCCCAGGTACTTCAGCAATCTTCATTCCATGTCCTGTAGCTTCATTTATAACCATGGAGTCCATCCTGCAAGGAAGGAGCATACAATCGGTTTTGCATTCACTCTCCCAGAAAATTATGAGATCAGAGAAAAATTAGTTCCTATTTGGTAAGAAATTTGATTCAGGTATTCTAGAAAGAATATGGTTTTTACCAGGAAGTACTCAGGGAACTGTGAACAAGCTCGAACAACATCAAAAAGGAAATAGTCATGGCCACAATTTTGTAGTTATGGAATTATATCTTATATAGAAAGGAGCAAATCAGACGCTCAGTGTAGAATAACTTGGAAGCATGCATCCACATATCAAATCTCGGAACCGTCTTATTAAACAGAAGACACAGCGAGTTCATCTCGCATTGCAGTTTTAGTAAACAAACATGAAGAATGAAATTACACTGACTCTACTCTATGCTTTTTCCAAGATAGCAATTTGTGAATGTTCTTGAGAGCTTCTACAAAAAACTTAATCAGGAAATTACATTTTAGCTCGAGAAACGTAGGCCAGTATGAATTTGCAGCGTCCTTTTCCCCTTTTTTGAAGTAGTAGCTTCACTGTCTCAAAAAGCAAAGGAATGCTTGCTTGTTGAAAGCGTATACATAGTCAAGGCTTTTGCTTGTAGGTTTCACAATATTGGCCATGAAACAGATGTGCACAAACTAATATAAAGAATATCTGCCTTTTACTGTAAGCGAAAGAAATTTTAGCTTTTGCAGTACTACAGACATCGCTGATGGAGCGAGAATGCAAGACTTAGGTGAAGTCTGAAGTTCAACTAATAACAAAGAGGATAATGACAACAACATATAAACATCCGAACACAGATATACTGTTTAGGATCCATCATCTACTAACATGACTAAAGTGAAAATCCAATTGAAGTAAAATCCTGGCATGCTCAAGTCATTGGGCTATAAAATTGATTATTCCTCAGAGAATAGATAAGCAGATTTTTGTTAATTTTTGTCAATATAGGATATATATGTCTGCTCCAAGAATAAGATCAAATCCTCCCGAGTGACTTCCCAAAATTTGCTCGATCTGATCAACATTTCCCCATTCTAGCTTCTCAGCCACAAATCCTGAACAAAAGAAATCAGAAAAATAACATACCAGCCTTCCAAACAACTAAATTTCTTTACACTAATTTCTCTCACCTGTGCAATTACTGTAACTCTCGGAAGAAGAATGCAGCTCTATGTTTTTCTGCAAAATCTGAGCATGTAGGGATGCGCAAAATCAGAACTCAATGACAGAACTCCATGAACTCTAGAATCAGAATTCACCCTCTTGGGTCCTTGCCTTGAGAACTTCATCATTATGGTCAGTCAACACGACTTCACGACAAAATCTACCGCAAAGGATTCCTGTTATACCTGATTTTTATGAAGTGCCAACTAGCTTACATAACTGGTCGTCTTCCATCTAACAAAGGGAAAAAACACGAGACTGATTTCCAAGATCACTCACCGACACCAGAGCCTAGTTCAATAACAGAACAACCTCGGAGCAAGTCAACGTTCTTCGAGAGGAACTCATTCAAAAGCATAGCTCCAGGCCATACCAGCTGCCCCGTCAGATCAAAATCAGCTGCCTCATAAGCAGTCAGCATACAAAATTAAACATCACGTGGATTATGAGTCTCATTGACAAGGGAATGTCATCCACTGGGTTGACTCCGAAATGCTTTCTAGTCGCACTAATTGCCTCGAGCATGTTATGCAAATGGTATATTGTGTGTGTGCTTGTGCACAATGCATTGAGCTGAATTACCCAGTTAAAAGTTCACCCACATTTTACTTCCCTAAAACCTACACCCTACTACTTCTTCTTCTTCCATTCATTTACTATCTCTTGCATAATATGCAGATGGCAGTATACCATAGCTAAGCTCCTACAGGTTCACATGAGCCAACGAATTGAACGGAACATCTCTTGTCCAATGAACAAACAAGGCATGATCCACTATCCTTAGAGATTCCTGGCTCTCTGATTTAAGCAGCCGGAGCAAGGAAAGGAACTCACTTGAAGCGGACTGAAGACAATAAAGCTCAAGAACTTGCGACCCAAAAGTGAATTTGGTCAGCTGGTAGCTGCACCAAGCACCATTTCGCAATCAACGTCAGCACGACTCAGAGCAAAAGAGAGTATACACACATACTAGTGAAGACATATATATATATATACAGAGAAAGGAGCGTACTTGTCATTGATAAAGAAAGACTCGTCCAAGCAAACCACGTCTTCCTCGTCTTCTTGGCGGTCTCCGGCCATGGCCGTATGCTCTGCAAGCTCCGATGTGTGAAGCGTTCAAGGGAGGGGTCGTGGGTACAGGGGACGGAGGAAGGAAGAAAGAGAAGCAAGCGGGTCATTTTACTGGGCCTAAGATGGACCTAAAACAATTGTACTACGGCCCACCAAGATCTTCATTACATTGGCACAAATCAAAATCAAGTAGAATTTATTGTAGACTTCGTAAAAGTCAAACTTGCTTGAGTTCCTCTAGGTTAGTGTTTTCTCTCTTCTTCTTCTATTACCCAAACTATCTTTAAGGGTTTGTGCGCAGTGAAAATCTCTCTCTCTTGATCCCGATAGTTAGGTTGTATCCGGGCTGGTTTTTGCGCATGGAAGTTGAAAACCTTAAGTCCTCCTTTGTGGAGTTTGGTAAGGAATTACTTCATTGTGACTTGATCTCGATGAAGTTACGGATGGTATAAACGAATAAGAAACTTTATAATGGCCGTGGTGTGACACGCTAGTCATTTTAGGCTGCACCACTCATTCCCCTTATCATATCTTGTTTACTTCGACTTGAAGGTTCGGCGAATAACAGATTAGTACTGAATAGAATAGAAGAGCCGACATGATGAGATGCGATGCTCTTTCTCGGATTCATTTCTACATCAATTTGAGGATGCAAAGATAACCAACCAACATTAATGTGGTACGAAGCAGACTGCTTGCAAAGTCATTTTGGAGCTCCTTTACTCAGCAACCTTGCCGATGCCAGTTCTGGTCTTCCGTGGACCAATCCCAAATTGTTGTTTATGGATAACTTTTTCAACTAACACCATGTCCTCGAAAAAAGGATAAGAAATGGTACAATAGTGGCCTAAAGTGTTGCAGGAGGAAACCGGGACGTAAGAATAACGTAAGACCGATCAGAGTTCCAGGTGTCTGAAACGCTTCATACAGCCAGGAAAATGAAGAACTGCATGGATAATATATAGAGCGTAGATGACCCCAACATGATCAATGGCACTCATGGTCACACACACACACACACACACACACACACACACCCAGAGAGAGAGAGAGAGAGAGAGAGAGAGATATGTCCCAACAATCATCTATCTGTTCAATGTGCAGTGGCCTACCTTCAATTAAACTATGCTTTTTCCGCTCCACGAGTTTGGGAAATGATTGTAAGCAAGAACAGCTAAGCTGAAGATAAAGAAGGAAACTTTAACAACTTTTGAGTACAAGGACCGGATCTAAATGAGAACAATCCGGAAAGGAGCTATTCACCCGGACTCCTTGACGAGTTTATGAATTTCTGGGCAGCATCCAACGTCAGTTCTTCGAACACCTACATTATTATGCATGGGATAGTGAGATCAGTACGACAGACTCAGGAAAGTGCAGAGGTAAAGGGATTATGACTGAACCAGGACTAGATCTCTGCATACCAGTTTCCTATGAACTTGTCGAAAAGCTTCGCAAAACCGCTCCGCCTCAGCAGCGCCCACCTGAAAAACAATCACACATACTTAGTTTTTTGTTGGTGATATTTCCCTTGCATATTCACTTTGCATTCCCTCAAGACAATATCCCAACCATGAGAAGTAAATCTCTAGGTAGCAAGCAGATCATCATTTATTGCTCCGAGAAGCATGTATCGCTCTATTGCTACAGGCCAAAAAATGCATACATATTCGACTAGACATATATCAACACTAAACTATCTTTCCCAAAAACAAAGTCTTTGGAACATTAAACTGAAGTCTACTTTGAAAAAAGTGAAGTCTACCTGCACATCAAGTTTGAGTGAACTACTGGTCAGATACTAATTTTCATTTCTTTACGCATACAGCCACGTTTCAACAGATATTCGACATGCTATACGTCGTCCTATTCTGGTAATATTTAAGCAAAGAAAATGAAGGTTCAATTAGCAAAGATATCCTTGCTATCAATATCATGCCTTCCAATGTCACTCAACTCTTAACTGTTCAAGCAACCACCTGTAGTCTTAGTTATACTTTTACTTCGTGCATGTGCAGTGCAATCAAACACATTCATTCCAGTAAATGAATTGGGCAGCTAATTCAGTCACACAGAAGGCCAAAAAAGGCATGCTGTGTAGCGTGCTACTAAATGAGCAGTTGATCTAACACATCTCTCTTTAATTATCAGAATATGCTACTGATGGAGCTTGATGTACCTTCCTCTCAGCAGCCAATAGTAGCTTCCCCCAGAATGCATCTGCCAAAACAGACATAGGCCAAAGGGATGAGTAAGATTTCCTATCACAAAAAAGCCTTACAAGCACAAAGATGTCTCAGAAACTGAAACATATGCATGCCATCTCCATGTATTAACCAACTGGCTTCATATGGCATTTTATTGCGGGACAAAGGCAACAATGAAGTTAATGTAGAAAACATCTTTATCTGCCCGAATCAAGGTAGCTCAGCATTAAGTCAAAAGCTTAGAATAAATCAACCTCTTAAACATAGCCAAGGATTGGATAGAAGGGCCAAATCTTCAAAGAAGGCATGATTAATACTTTCGATGCAACTTGTGACATCATTTTACCAAGATTCTCAGATGGACAATTTGAAGATCAAAGTAGTTTATTGTTAACTTACAAACACGATATTTCTTCAAGAATGGAATTTCAGATTATTTTTCTTAATAAGTGGTTGCAGAACCAAAATTTATCAGTCATTTTCACAATTGAATGGTTTTCTAAAACTTAGAGAAAACCATAAAACATTATTCAACTATCATTTTGCTTTGATTATCAACTCAACCAGCGAGGAGTGGTGCCACCACAAAGGGCAGCTTAAATCCATCCTTGATCGTATAGTAACAGAGAAAGAGTCATAGAAGCTGTGTCAAGCTCCTTCAGCCTCGGTCTCACCGATTGCAACAAATGAAAAGAAGAAGGAGAAGAAGCAAAGCAATGTTTCCTTAGAGATGCAGGGAAACAGATTAAGGACTCCGCTATAGACACATCACAAGAAATAGCTGATAATTCACATCTGGAGATGGAAGATTGTATGCCCGAGTTCGTTAGGACGATGACAAATCAAATGCAGGGTCCCAAGGGTAGTAGGTTACCAGACTGTTCCCCTACATTCCTTGGTTCACTGTCCTCGACCTCAGCCGATGCACCTCGCAATTCCTTCACCTGTTGTGCATAACAAAACAGGGTGATCTCAGCAACCAAATGCCAATGTATATGAATGTATGTAAAAATGCTGCACTATATCACAAATATAAATATTTCCGCAACTATAAGTACCAAGCTATCTCTTGCTGACCGAGAGGTTGACTGTCCTGAAGAATCTTCATCAGCCTGAGAGCATAGCAAACAGATGATCATCGATGCAGAAAAAGGTTTTCCAAACTGAAGAGCATAGGAATGTTCATCTTGAGTGACTGTAAGCATTAAAGACACCGAAAGAGAACCCCCGATATGAACAAGAGACGAGGATTGCTTCCAGGCACGAGCAATTCAAACGGTTCCTTACGCGGCCGACCATACAGATTTAAGGATACGCCGGATTCATCAATGAGTCTACTAGAAAGAATCTTCACCCTGATTGTTTCAAGTTTCCGTGACTCACTATGACTCATTACTACTTTCATTTCGGGAAAGCTCTAACCTACTGAGTAGGCTACAGATAAAGCCACGGCAGTATGACTGTGTTGGCAAGCTTAATTTGAGCAGACACAACCTTTGAAAAGTTCAAATGGGTTCCCACTGAACGCCTCTCCTTCATAATTTGCATAAAGCCTCTTATATATCTGAAACACCCTCAAAAGGGTGGGTGTCTAATAAATAAACAAAATCAAACAAGCGGCATCTCCCACTTCACCACTAAAAGGGTCATCTTCTTTCCCGGAAAAATCACAGAAGACGCTCCTTAATCCATCTTCCTCACTGTCCTAACAGGAAACTAGAGCACAACCAACCAAACTCAAACGGGGACATCCGCAAGACCGATTACATGGAAAAGCAACTCAGAGAAAGAGAGAGACAGAGAGTGAGGGACTGACGCAGTAGTCGCGGGATCGGACGAGAGGGAAGAGATCTAGGAGGCGCTTGAATTCTTGCTCGTCCATCATCTCTCCGATGCAAACGCAAATGCAAATGCAAAACCCTCTCTCTCTCTCTCTCTCTCTCTCTCTCTCTCTAGATATATTTGGGCCTTTTTGCTTTATTAGTTGAGTAGCAATAAGAGAGATGAAGGAAGAGAGAGAGAGAAACGTACGAGAAAATTGCTTCCCCTTTGGACCAACATATTAAATTTCTCTCAAATTGGAAAGGAACTATATTTCTTTTTCTTTTCCTACGTTCCCTATTATTCACACAAGTAAATAAAAGTCTTTTCTAATTAGACCAAAATGCTCTTACTATATAGTCTGTGTTTTCAATGCTAAAGGGACATCATACTATCTAATTTGTGGAGAATGTTATTTGAAGTTACATTTTTCGTCGTAAAGGATAGCATAAGCTTCACGCGCCATAGACGGCCAATTTCATGCTGGATCTTATTTGAATCCGTTACGAGTAATTTAAATAAAGAAAGTTTATATTGTTGTCAAATTGGCTAATTATTGAAAATTTTACGCATGCCTATTTTGTGTGGAAGAAAGTAGGATGATATCACGGCGAATTAAGAATTATCCGGCCAAATGCTAGTTTAGGCTTGAAGAGTTGCAAAAAAGTCCTTTTCCCCAACATGCAAATAAAATTGAAAGGACTTTAGAACGAATAAAAATCAACGGGTGCTTTTTGTTATTATTTTTGGGTTTTTAGTTTTTAATGGTTTTCAATTAATAAAATTTATAGTTTGTGTGAAATTTTCCATTGATCAGATGGTCATGCATGCACATGAGATGGTACATAATTACGTTTTAGCGTTGAACGATTAACATAATTTTTTCCTTCAAATCTAATGCTCATCAAATATAGGAAAGAGAGCTCTTTTTTTTCTTCCATTTCTATTGACTTCCTATCGTCTTTTATCACACTTTTGCTTTAACCCTAGTTAACAAGCCAAAATCCAAGCATCACCTCGCTTGGGTTTAAATTGTTAATGCCCAATTCATTAGAATAAGAAGCTCAACGTTAGACTTTCGGATCCTCTTTCGTAGAACACTACCGGCAGATGTTCACCTAGGAGTCGAATTCCTCAAATTTGACAAACATTTCCAACAAATCTCTCTTCATGCAATTACACTAAACATGTCAAATGATCAAGTTTCTGAGAATAGTCGCTTGAGCAGCGAATAAAAGGATATATCTCCAAAAGTATAAAGGAAGGATCGAGGTAAAGATTTTCCCCAAGCAAAGAAGGATGAAAGAATCACCCCATAATGAAGGAACCCCGATATGGTTTGTTTAGATGTCCGAATATATATAGGGTCGTTCATGACATCATACTGCAATCAATCTCTTAGTTAAGACGGCAGACAGTCGATGTAAGAGATCATACACAAGAGCAATGCTTTTTCACCATGAAATTTTCCTTCCAAGTCTAAACTAGAGTTGCAAAATGTATGAAAGACACGACTAAATTAAGAGACCCCAGACCATCCCAAGTGCACAGTAACGCGTTAATTTATGTAAATTCCTTGGTCCCTTCAGGCTGTGTGCTTGCACGAGGAAGCAGCAATTCAGTCCCCACCATTCTCCTGTCAAATCAGGAAAATGGATCATTGCATGTGTTAGTGTTTTGCAGCTGGAGCAAAAAATCTTTGTTCACGAACGCATTGCCTGCACCGCGTCTCTGTCTATGCTGAGGCTTCAGGGACGTGACCAGAGAAATGTCCCTCCATTCATGGTGAATTTACCAGTGACGACGTAACAGGCTGCATCAGATCACCAATCATTATCAGATGGATCGCGATTACTGCTCCCAAGAATTCATTCCAACTTAATAACCGAAAACAAAAGAAAAAAAAAACAATAGCATGTTCGCGTTCCAACAGGAAAAGAAAAAACAGATTATGTTATGCACTGAAGATCTGATTGGTTAGTTCAGAATTATTCTGTGTTTGTTGATAAGAACGTACAGAGCTAAATGAGAGTGAAAAAGAATATAGTAGTCAGCTCTTTCAGTGAAAGATATCAAGCATGTGCAATATCTATTTAAACCTGTAAATACCACGTGCTTGACATATGCAAGGCCGATGTGTATACCCCTAAAACATGTCTAGCTAAGCTCTCTTCTTTTGCTTTGCTTGATTCTTGCTTCTGCCTTGGGTCAAACATTTTAGTTTATCTGAAAGGTTACTAAGTTGGTTTCAGCCCTGATTAAAAAACTGTCAAGATCAATCATTACCCATTATATATTGGGAAAAAACCACCAAAAACCCCAAACTTTGCCATTTGTGACACATTTACCCCAAACTTTTTTTTGTGACACCAAAAACCCCGAACTTTGCTTTTTGTGACACATTTACCCCAATGTATTTAGTCCATGGGCATTTTCGTCTTTTTTGCTTTTTCTTTTTTTTTCCTTTCCGGCGAGGCCCCCCCTCGCCGGCGTCGGGCGAGGGCTGCCCATCGCCGGATCCGGCGAGGGGGGCCCTCGCCGGCGTCGGGCGAGGTTCGCCCTCGCTTGGGCGAGCGAGGGCGGCCCTCGCCCGACTCAGCGAGGTCGACCTCGCCGGCGTCGGGCGAGGGTCGACCTCGCCTCGCCTCGGCCGGGCCAGGGCCGCCCTCGCTCGCCCGGGCGAGGGCGACCCTCGCCGGCGCCGGGCGAGGTCCGCCCTCGCCCGGGCGAACGAGGGCGGCCCTCGCCCGTCCGGCGAGGTCGACCCTCGCCGGCGCCGAGCGAGGCGGCCCTCGCTCGCCCAGCGAGAGCGACCCTCGCCCGACGCCGGCGAGGGTCGACCTCGCCCGACGCGGCGAGGGTCGACCTCGCCCGACGCCGGCGAGGGCGACCGGCGAGGGCGACCCTTGCCCGACGCGGCGAGGGTCGCCCTCACCCGACTTGAGCGAGGGCGGCCCTCGCTCGACTCAAGCGAGGTCGACCTCGCCCGGCGGCCCTCGCTCGACGCCGGCGAGGGTCGACCTCGCCAGACGGGCGAGGGCCGCCCTCGCTCGCAGCGAGGCGGACCTCGCCCGACGCCGGCGAGGGTCGCCCGACGCCGGCACGGGTCGCCTCGCCCGGCGAGCGAGGGCGGCCCTCGCCGACTCAGCGAGGTCGACCCTCGCCGACGCAGCGAGGGTCGACCTCGCTCGAGTCGGGCGAGGGCCGCCTCGCTCGCCCAGCGAGGGCGAACCTCGCCCGACGCCGGCGAGGGCCGCCCTCGCCGGAAAGGAAAAAAAAAGAAAAAGCAAAAAAGACGAAAATGCCCATGGACTAAATACATTGGGGTAAATGTGTCACAAAAAGCAAAGTTCGGGGTTTTTGGTGTCACAAAAAAAAGTTCGGGGTAAATGTGTCACAGATGGCAAAATTTAGGGTTTTTGGTGATTTTTTCCCTTATATATTTACCTCCTCACTTCAGCTCTTTTCCCGATTTTACCCATTTATTATATTTCAACTACAGTGGCCAGAACTCTACTCACCTTTCATCCAAATGAATTCGCTTTCACATTTTCCTCTATGAAGTCTCTAGCAAATGGATGCATCTCTTAAGCAAGGACTTGGCTTGTTCACTCTTTTCCACCTCATGTAGATGGGCCAGCAAATCCTTCAAACCTGCATCTGTCCAGAACGTTGAGGGTAGCTCCCTACAAAGGGTGATCATCTCCAAAAGGCACTCTGAAGCACTGACGTGAACCTAAATTTGAAAAAGTAAGAGATTAAGATTGAAAATAGATATCTCTAATATCAAATAGATTATTGGTCCACAGTGCAAGATGAACATCTAAAACGCATTTGCAGGAATGATCTAAGACAATCTAGAACTCTTAAGTGGTCCACTTACCATGTCAACTAGTCCATGCCATATACAAACTTACTCTTGCTCGCACATACAAGAAGTGGCTATGTTGACTAAAATGTAAAAGTCCTTGGGATGCTAGCAACTGATCTCTCTCATTTGGCCGATCTACTTAGTAAAGGAATCATCATAAAAAATGTAAATTTAGTAAAAGGTAATTGCCTCTAGTGCCTTGAGTCAGAATGGAATTGATTCCAAGAAAAACCCAGCTGAACGCAACAGTCTGATTAATACAGGGCCCACACCAGGAGAACCATAACTTGAAAGATTAAAAAAAAAAAAGAGAAAAATCCTGCTTCCTCACATTGCAAAGACAATGTATGCAATCTAAAACTCCAGAACTCTTAATGGATAACTTATTAAAGAAACTCTTATTTACTGGAGTAAAGTCACCTATATATGCATGGGACTAGAATGCTACAATCCTACATCTATGTGAAAGCCACACAAGATCTGATTGTTTTAAAGAAGACAAAGGTCGTTTCAACCACAAAGGGGAAAGAGAAGACATACCTGTGCTATCTTAACTGTGGCTATGCATTCTGCCACTTTGGGTGACACCGAACAAAACAGCTTAAAATTGAGAAGGAAAAACTGATGATCAGAATCCAGTTAAGCAATTTGGAGAACAGAATGACAACTGATTCTAAAGCTGGTAAGTCCAACATGTCCGTTATAATAAAGGAAAGCTATTTTCCTTAACCAAAGTTAGATATATCATCCCTTAGTTACCCTGTTTCTCAGCAATATTATAAGAAAGTTGTAACTAATTACCTCATGAAACAAAGATGCTGTATTTGCATGTAGAGAAGCTAGCCGAGAATCAAGCAAAATGTCATGAATCCTTGAGCAGAGTCCGTTAATTGATAGAAAAGCCGATATTTTGACTGTGTGATGAAACAGTTAATAGAAACACTTTTCATACTGCAATCATCTAAGAAAAAAGTGGTTATGAAGATACCAGTCCATGACAATTCAGGTGAGAGGGAGACAATCCAGAGGTGCTTCAAGTTGTTTTTCTGTTCCAGAATATCATCTATATTTGCCACATGGATACAGGATGTGACACAGTCCAGTACCTTTTCTCGCGGAACGGAAGAATCATCTTTTCCATCATAGTCTGCACATATCAACCACACCATGTAAAAGGCACAGTTTATCATCAAGAGAAAGTTATGATATGGAATTCAAAGGTTGCAATGCAGGACAACTCAAAATCCTGAAAGCTGGACAGTTAAAAGCTAGAAATGTGGATGAACCTGGTTTAGCAGAATCATTTGCTGAAGGTGCTTGTCCAGGCTTATCAGAAGTGGCTGAACTGCACATGTCAAACAATAATGGAAAAACCATGTTGAAGAACTCATGATTGCCAAATGCTTTTATAACCTGAAAAACCATGGAAAGTTCAAGATCTTCATTAGAGAGGAAGGGGAATGATCGGGGGCAAATTCTAGTTGGGAATTAAGAAAATGAAATCAACCAGAAACAGCACTTTCCAAACAATGTACTGCTGAAAAGTTTCTTGATGTGAGAGCTCCTCAAAGCCCTCCATTTTTCTAAATGAAGACAATTACATTGGGGAGCACTCTAACATAATCTGCAATTACCTGATCAAGGCTTAAAAGCGCGGCTTCCCGGTATTTCTTGACCTTTTTTGTGCATGCAGAGCATAGCATATCCAGAATAGCACCAGCAGCTTTGGGATCTTCCTTGGAGATGGCTTGATGGCAAGATTTTGAAAGAGCACCCAAGGCATACAAAAGAGCCTCCTTCCCCTACAATATTATAGGAAGATATTGACACATTAACATCTGAGAAGCCAAGGAAGTTTAACTGGTACAGTAAGTGATATAATGCAGCCTTTATTCCTGCTATTCTTGTATCATGCCTTTGCCTTAGTACTTTAGAACACAAAGTATTGCCTCTCCTTTAACAAAGTCGATGACATTTCCTACCTCCCATAATCGACCTGGAAGTTCTTTCATAAGAGATATGAGCAAAACTTGATGACAAGGAGACAGAGATTCACCCAATACTTCACCGAGCTTGCAGATTGCCTGGGCAGCCTGAAAACTCATTCACAAAAACAATCAAGCATTTCGATTTCATATACATAAGAAGAGATGACCAACTTATGATCTTTAAGACAGACATATCTCAGAAGTCTGATTTTTTCAGTATTAAGCAGAGTGTCAATATTATGGACTTGCTTGTTTCCAGTGTAAGCTTTTGGACAAAAACGGGTGTCTAATATGGTATCATAATGCATGTTAGGATTTTAAATCCTGGCACTCCATCATTTTTTCTATCTTGTTACATCTGTTTAAATGCCTTTGTTCCTGCCTCCAGTTGACGTCCAGATTATGTGCTTCATATGTAAGCATCGGCTTGCATGTGAGGCATTGTGGAATCTTTCTCTCATGGATTTTGTTAAAGAGTGCCCCCAGGGCACTTGTTAAGTAACTCAATAAAGAAATATTGCAATTCTCGTACACTGTTTTTCTTATTTAATGTGTAATCGATACTTTGGAAATGAAAACTTTCCTTCTTAAGCATGCTTAACAAGTGCGCCGGGACATTCATTAATAAGACCCTTTACTTATAAACTTATAGTTTTGGGAGAAACACTAATTTCAATAATATAGAAAACCAAAAGCAAAAGCCTACCTTTTTCTTACTTCCCCACGATGAAGATGAAATGTTGTCACAAATAAGAGAAACTATTTCTCTCATGTACAATTGAAGGGTAATTTGTTCACCGCTTGTATTTTCTTCCCAAAGTTCCTCAAATATGCCAGAAAGATTCTTGTCATCCTCAAATCTGCAGAATGATGAACATGTTCTGAAACTCTAAAAGTTGGTTGGAGGAATAGATCATCACATGTTCAGTCCAGACAAAATACAATCTTAGAACCACTAAATTCCAGGAGTTAATAGGTGTCTACTTCAGATTTTCTGCAAAATGCATTTTCTCCTTTTCCTTTGTCTTTACTACAATTCGTCATGCAGCTGCATTAGACGCCGGCATAACTTACGACTTAATGATGCCAGCATCTTCTGATGGTAGGTCCTCATTTTTCATGGAGATTAGATATGATATTCTATCAATAAACCAGAGAGAAGGAAAAAAACCCCCAAGAACCATTTGTAATTCCAGAGAATTTGTACTTCACTTTTCTTGTAAGCAATATCTTTAAAAATTCATAGTGCTTAAACTTTTTATCTATCACTAGATGTCAGAGATTTTCTCATCCTCAAGGTAATCTTCCAGATTTTTTAGGCCTCTAAGAGACCTTGAAGATGTATGACACTCGCATATCAAATAACAGATCAACAATAATACATACTCATAAAAGATGAAGAGTAAAAGAACAACAAGAGCAAAGTACCTTGAAATAGAGGCCTTGAAGATGTATGACACTCGCATATCAAATAACAGATCAACAATAATACATACTCATAAAAGATGAAGAGTAAAAGAACAACAAGAGCAAAGTACCTTGAAATAAAGATTACAGGTAGAATTTCGGCATAATAACCACTAACGACATCTGGGGCCGTGGATAGAAAGCTTTTCAGTAAAATCGCACAAGAGATTTGTGAATTTTTGTCACCGTCATGCAAAGCTGTGGTGTCTTCAATTAACTTCTGTGCCTGAGAGGTACTTGCATGCTTTAGTACTAATGCACAGGCACTTGAAAAGGCACGTTTTAAAGCAGCACTTTTCTCCTCCTTCACGGCTTCAAACAGCAACTTCAATAGTGTGTTTGCAAATGGTTTGACATCTATGCCAACCTTTTGAACTAACAAGCCAATAAAGCTAGCAACACCAACCCTGCAAGTTAATCAAGAAGTCTATTAAGTACAGAATATAGTATAGGTATGCTTGATCATCTAATATAGCAGCATTCCAGCCTTCTTAAGCTGATTAAAGAAATTAGAGAAAGAATAAATTTCATTCTTCAATTTTTTGAGTAAAAAATAGGCATTTCCCTGTGTGCATTCGGTGGCACAAAAGCATAGCTTGAATTTTCAGGCCCTAAATTTTTTCTCTTTACTTGAACCGCAATCTTTGCAATATTTCCTCCCTTCCCTAATGGTTTGGTGATCATTTCATTTTTCACCCCAACAAGTAGACATCATTCGACTAGACTATTTAAAGGAGATGAAAAGATCATTGGTGAATTCAGAGCATGAAGGTGGAAACCAAGCTCATGGGATCACTGAATCTCCATCAGAGCTAGACTATGAGAGAAATTAGAGCTTCATGGTTTCACATTTATGTCAAGACAGACTGTTCTTCTCCATCATCAGACATACGTTGGACACCACCTGATGTCCCACAAATCCGACAAATTGTTTAAGTGCAACACATATCGCCAAACCCTCAGGGGGATGTCCAAGACAATAGCCAACTTCTTCTTTCCAAGGAAAGTATGACTTGAAAAGGAAGATGGCTGTCCAACCACAGAGAAATTATACTTCATTGACTAACCTAAAAATTTACCACAGCCATTGATGTATTGGAGGTGCAACAAATTAGCAAGCTGGCTTTTTTGTCCCAGTGAATGAGAGAAAACTGAGACTAAAAAGGGACATGTAGTATCACCAAGTACAGAATCAAAGACATCAGGGACTAGAATACAGAGATATTATATGAAAACAGAAATGTTTGAGAATGTCACAGTTCATCTTGCAGCATCTGTTCACCAAGAAAAATGCATATGAGATTGTGCCAACAGACCTTGTGTTTAAGCCGACGCTAGCTCGTACCATTTGGGCAAGTCGGGGAACCAAGCTTTCCAAGGATACGGTATCCACAACATTTATGCACTGGTCCAGAGTTTCCCACATAGGAGAACTTTTGGCAATTGAGATCCGCAAGTTCTCAAGTTTCTCTGTTTTCAATCCAATGTTTGTCGCATGCAACTACAAGATAAAGCATATGAACAGAAAAAAAAAATTGAACTGACGGACAAGCAAGATTGCAAATTGCTACAGTGGCTAGTGAAATTCTCTTATACCTCAACATAATTGAGCCCTTGGTCCTCAAGGCTTGACAAACTTTCTAGCATGCAGGAAACTAAGTCTGCCAAATGTGGACGAAGCGCGACCCCTGCACCCTGTAAATAAGTGAATAGTTACAGGTGATGCCTCTGATTGAAAAACTAGCTTTTTTCAAACAAGAAGTACCTCATTATTCTGGACATAGAAATATTTACAAAACTAGCTCTTTCTAAAAAATCCAACTACCAATACAAATCTCAAAGAGATAAAAAAAAAGAATAAATCATATAGCACATTATTTTCATCAAACCACAAAAGTACGCAAAGCCAAGTCTTTTTCAGCATTTCATTCACACAATAACACACTTGACCTTACTAAACCAAGTGGTTTCCATTCGGTTTTTAGCTTATATACAATCCTTAGGCAGTAAATAGATAGCTAGGTGGGCAAATCCATATTCAAAACTATAGCTCTACTCACCTTTTCAATTCTTAAAAAAAAATTTCGTTAATTAACTTGCTAGGAATATTTTTCCAACATGTAAAACAGCAGGATAGAGAGGTCATCCATAAAGGCCTTTGTTAATATGCAATGGTAAATGGAAGCCAAATGTTCTTCTTAGGGACTAAACTTTTGTAACTAAAGTTCTCATAGGAAGATATGTCAAACCTTCGCGAGCTTCATTACAACGGCAATTGATGCTTTGCGAACAGTATCAACCGTACTTAGAATGCCTTCTTTAAGCAGATATGGTAAAACAACATCCATAGCTTGGCGTGAGTCTGATACTTCAGTGAGGTTGACATCACAGAGGCGTATTGTCAGTGAAGTCACTGTGCGGCATAATTTGTCACCAGAGTTCCGAACAGTTTCTTTAATATCATCCATGGCCCGAAATGCAGCAATCCATACTTTTTTCAAATGCTTCCCAACCTACTTGACCAAACTGTAATTAGTATATTGGGAATATATACTGGCATCAAGAGCAATATAAACCAAACTTCTCTCGTTTTTCGTTGCAAAGGTTCATAAACCAAAACCAGTCTTTTTTCTTGAGTAAATTTCACTATAAGGTCATCAAAGACGGACAAATATATAGTTATCAATTTAAGCATGCCATTTTGGAAACTGAGAAAATGTATTGTGGCATATTTTCAAATCAACGCAGTTGGAAGAAACATGCTCATGAAGAAACAGATCCACCGAGCAACTTCAGAGAAGAGTCATGATGACTTGCCTTATCCCATAACATGATATGAACAGGAAATAAGATAAAGCATGAAATACCGATATTGATTCAAATATAAACATAACACAATGCATTGACCCTCCTATCAAAAGTAACATTCATGTATTTCAATTTACATAATGATTTCACATTAAAAAAAATGGTACACGTGAATGCTAGACAGACAGAACAATGATGTCTTAACAAATTACAATCTCCACGAAAAACAGAAATTAAATTGCTTGACATGAAAACAAACAATAATTTTTAGCAGTTGATAATTTGAAAGAATTAACAAAAAGCAGTTAAGAAAAGTTAAGCATGTTTCCAAATATAAGCACAAAAATCACTTAAAATCAAATCAATTTTAGTTTCCATAAAGCTTTAATTAAAAATTCTAATTCAAGTTTCTTGGAGGAGGTCGAAAGAAATTAGGAAGTCTAAATGCACAATCAATTTATCAAACTTTTTGCGGAATACGATGAGCAGACACTAGTAAAATGTGAAATGAATGGCTCAACTGCCCCCTCTTCTTCTCTCCTTTTCCCTTTCACCCATCGACTGAATCTTTTGGGGGGACATATATTGACTCCACCTAAGTTTACGCACGTCGAGCACCAGCATTAGCACATAGTCATCTAAATTTCCACCTAAAGTAATAGTAATAGCTAGATTCTAAAGAGACAGCAATGGTGCTTTGGATACTTAGCGTCAACTAATTCATATACATGCCCTTTCAATTAAGGCGTAAGATCAAGGAAAGGAGAAACTAGATTAACTTCATCTTTCAGAAACATGGACGACATAAAAATTTATGAATGGTTCATGTTATTACTGGGGATTCTCTGATAATTCTCAGACTCAAATATCTCTCAAAGACTCAAATATGCGGTATTTCCCACCCAATCCCTTACCTGATTAAATTTTCGTCCTTGGAAAATATCAGCAAGAGCAAGACAAGAAGCCTCCCGGGTACGCCAGAGCCTAGAACCACATTGTGTTAACAAATCATCCATGATTAGGTCAAAATGTTCATCAATAGTTCTCTTTGAGTCCGCCACTAGGGCCTTCCAGATATGTGCCATTGCATCCTGTATCAAATCCAAGAAGAGCATAAAAAAAAGAGGAAGAAATACCAATGGAAAATCCAATGGAAAACAAAAAAAAAATAAGAGTATCTTGTCAAGGTATTACAAGGCAATGAAGAAAATAAAATTGGCTTTACACGCAAGAATTCATCAAAAGGATGCCATTTGAACAGATTTACTAAAACACAGGAATTCCGGGATCTCCACCTGAACATTTTTGTCAGGATCATACTGATATCGCACAAGTCTGGGTATTAACACATTTAGATGCGGCTGAAGAGCATCCCCAGCTTGCTTGGCTATTTTAGAAAAGCCAAAGGCAGCACCCCTTTTCGAATCTAGAGAAGCATGGTGATTTGCAAGATCCATAAACTTGTATATCAGATCCGGTTGCCCCATCTCATTCGCCATATTGCACAGTTCCTTATAAGTGCTAAGTTTTCCACCACTTAGACTTTCCCCTATAGCCCCCTCTTGGAAAACTTCAGAATCTTCGACAAGCTGTCCAACAAAATTTCATCCTCAGATTTGTCACCAGAGGAACGCACAGAAACTTAAATAGTCAAGTCAATATTTTCAAGTATTACATGCTGCTCCATCCACCAGTTCCTCATTATTTGTATCCTGGATTCTAGACATAATTTAGACTTTTCTGAGTTCTTAGTAGAGTCTTCCATCAAATTTCTAACTAAGATAACTCGAACTACAATACAACAAACCTTGATGGCTCTCTTTCTCTTCCCTGATGCAGTTAGAGTATTGACAAGTGCATTCACCAAGTTTTTCTTCATAGATGCATCTCCAAGGTCATACACAATGCTCATGCCTTGGGAAGCAAGCTCCTGAGTAAGTTCATTCTGTTCACCAAGTAGGTGTGAGAACGCTTCCTGCAATACAAAAAAAAAAACCTGAATTATAGCAAGAAAATAGAACGGTATTCTTCTGAGCAGATAAATTGTCTAATTTCCTTTTCTAATCCATGAATGTTCTTTATTTCTTCTCTCAGCTGTTTGTCGCTTCTTAATTGACCTAAAATGATTGCATAGGTTCATCTCGACATGAAAAGAGTTCAAAGTCTTTTCTTCAACAAGAAAAGACCTCGTCTCAGCTCATTTGCACAACTAAATTGACCTGTATCTTCTGACTACAACTAACGCAACATACAAGTAACCTGTAAATACAGCAACTGTGCGCCTATTCATGTTATTGGAAGTGAACATGATATCCCTTTCAGGAATTCTATAGTACAAGAAAAACCCAGTGCATCTATTTGTCTAAAAAAGGTAGACATTCCAACTTCCCTCATACTTAAGCATGTCGATGCATTTTTACTTTGATTCAGCAAGTATGACGACCAGGAGTTCAAGGCCCTTGATAAGTATCAAAAACATCCACTGACCAACCAAAAAGTCCATTCATCCTCTTCATATATTTAGTATATTGAATTTATTGTTGTCTGTTCAATTTTTACTTAAAAGGTAGGCCACTGGTATATATAAGAGCGATCTAGGGAATTAAACAACTCTGTTAACGTACTTTTATAAAGGGAAAAAAATAGAGATTAGTCACAAGAAAAACTTCGATCCATAGTAAACCACAAATCCTCTGCAAAAAACCAGCATCTTTCCAACACGATGATTGCAAGAGTAGAAATAAGCTAGAGTCAAAAGGGAATAGCGCCACATGGAAAGAGTTCTTGCAGAGCCTATAGAGTGCATTGTCAACAAGCTCAGAAGATAATTGGCCAATAATAATAGTAATAATAACAAGCGCAGAAGTACAAAAATTGGACTTATCAATTGACAATAAACCTGAATCTCGGGTAGCATTTGTTGGATAGTTGCATGATGGCCACAATACAGGGTCAATGACAACAGCCAGACAGTTCCAGCACAGCGTTCTTCCTTTCTCTGACTGTATAAAAGACTATCGAAGAGCTTTCTAGTAATTGCATCTCTAACACTAGCACGAGAACCATCAGTGTCTTCAGTCATTCCATTAGAGTTATATCCTGTCAAAGATGTGCTCATGTTTTCCATAAGATAGTTTGAAGACATGGAGAGCGAAGTATAATTAGTCTTGAGAATTGTGTCAGCAGTCACAGGGACAGTTCCCCACAAGAAAGACAAAGCCTCCCCAGCAGCAAAAAGGACATCCTCAACCTGTACAACTCAAGGATTCAGAGATAAGAAAACTTTCAGGTGCTATGCAACAACAAGACCAAACAGGAATCATTTACTAAGACAACCACAAGTAGAAAGAGCAACGAGAATCAGTGTGCCCACCTTCGAACGGCAAAGGCTGAAAACCAAATCAATCGCAATGTTGAGACGTGAAGATGATGTTTCTTTCATACAGACATGTCCAAGCGATACAGCAATTTTCTGAATTGCTTTAGTATCATCACCAGAAAGTAGCTTCCTCAGTTTTTCTTGTAGAGCCATGAATATGTCAGCTGCAACTTGAATGAAGTCTAACATGACTAATCATCCATGGAACCGATTGCAACATTTCCAGGAAGAGAAAAGTTACCTGAGGTGGAGTTATCAGCAATTGAAGGTAACGGGACACGCAACCCAATATGACCTAATGCTTGCATAGCAATCGATGCCAATGTTGCATTCTCGGAGTTTACAACATCAACCAGGCATTTGAGTACACTCTGGAGCAGTACTTCTGGTATCTAAAAGGTGAATGTCAGATACAACACGATTTATGTAAATGCAAATAACTACAGCTCAACTTAACAATATCCACCACAATTATACAAAAATAAAGGCAAACTTATACATTTGTGTCATTATGTTGCAACTTGCATTTACCTCAACATACTTAAATGGACATCCTACTCTTGATACAGATATCAGAGTCCAATTTTACATCAGCAATAAGATAAAGAGTTTGCGAGCATAGGAAGGTGTAAAGTTGGAAAGATTTCAACTGGAAATCGAGGGACTTGAACGATAAGGGGCGTATGGATTCAAAACTAACAATACAAAAAGGGTAGTCGCGCATATTTTTTTCAAGCATCTTTCTTTGAAAAAATTATTAATTCATTAATCATGGACTATAATGGAAGTTAGAATAAATTACACAGGATAGGAGTGATAGCTGATCTCAAATGTAGCAAAAAGGAAAAGACACAAAGACATGGAGCAATCTCAATTAAGATCATGTCGAAAGTAAAAAGCCTTGGTTAAACGCTGTGATTACAAACGTAAAATTCTTTTTTCCCAGAGATTATGAAAGTAAGTTGAATGGATCATATAGTACTTTGTATCAGATGAAGATATATGTCAATCAGCGAACAAATCTAAAAAGCATGGAAATTCTCTTGATTTCATCTGCTAAACTTATTTTTTGTCACTAAGAAAAGTAATCACTCACTTTTGGTTTTATTAGAAGTCATTTAAGGCTCAGCCAAAAAAAAAGGAGAAGAATTCATTTACCAAATCCATAATCAATTGAATTCAAACATTCAATAAATTGCTCATCATTATCGTTGACGGTTCAACATGGAATTTTCCTTTTTGGACCATAACCAATGTAGGAAGTTACCAACCTAGCATCTAGGACAATAACTGTTACCCAGAGAGTAAAAACCATTAGAATGTTGCCACTTAGTCTGAAGTATAATGAATAGAAAAAATGAGGCATGGAGCAAACGTAAAACATAAGTTGGTCCATAAATGTATCAACACCATGCCACAGTGCAATCAGAAGGAAAATGCTAATAACATGATTGACCATACAATATCACCATTATATTCCTGTCAAAAAACACATGCATTTATGCTTTATTTCGGAAGGAGAGGAGGGGAAGATAAATGAAGGACGGATGCCGAAGATGGGGTAACAATTAAGGTTTTGTGAGAAGAAAAGGAGGGGACAAATTTTCTCCCCTTTTTCCCCGTCATGTTCCCAGAGAAAGCATTAAGGTAACAATGGTGCCACAGGACAAAAAGAGAGAAAACAAGAAAAAGTATGGGAAAGAAAAACTCTCATATGAATTTACTGAGAAAAACAACAAACTGTGACTTACAGGAGGTGTCCTACAAATACAATCTGCCATGATATATCCTATAGCACATACCGCTCCGTAATGATAATCAAACCTGAAGAACACATTGAACTCCCCAAATCAGAAAAACTCTGGACTTTAGAGCGAAAATATGAAGGGTCATCTTCCAACAAAATTCGTCAAACCTTATTTTGCGTGAATCGCTGATTGAAAAAACTAGTTCGCTTATCAAAGCTGAAGCAGCCGTGGTCGGAAGACCAGAGGAAGCCATTCCAAGTAAGCGTGCCGCAGTTTCACGAGTATCAATGTCCACGTGACTCAGTAATTGCTTTAGCCATGGCAGTTTGTTAGCATAATGAGGAATGATCACCTGTAAAGATCAATATTTAGTAGGAAAAGTTAATGATAGTCCCACAGGGAAAATGAAAAAAGCAGCAGCAAGTCCAGTGGCTTCTTTTGTCATACTTGTGGAGTATGAGAACTAATTGCCACCAGCGCCCTGGAGGCACAAGCATGCAACTCAACTGAGCCTTCAAATGCCATGGCATGATCTAACAGTAAACACATAGTTTTCACTGAAGATGAAAGTTCGGAGGGTCCTCCATCAGTTTCAGAAAGCAGCTTTTCTGACTCAAAACACTTCAACAAAAACTTGATCATAGCAACATAAGTTTCTGAAGGAAAAAGAAGCTTTTGTTCCCTTGTTTCAATTGATTCTAGCAATTCTGGTCGCTGCTTGAGGATGTAAGTTAACATGTCTGCAAGTTTTGGGTACTTCAGACTGATATCATGATGGGTAGGTTGCCCATTATCGTGACCGGGGAACAGGCCTTCCAGTGCCATTTCTCTTCAAAGAAATTTCAAAAGAAAAAAGCAGAACAAACAATAACCTTATATTAGTAATAGAGACAACTACCACTGTATGCATACATAATGAGGACAAAGACCAATATACAAAGCTAGCCAGAGAGACGTCTTATCTGATGGAAGAACTTCAGTGACATCATGAAACATATGAAGAAAACAAGCAACCAATATCATGCAGCACTAAGAGCAAAAGCATGAAGAAACTTAAAACATCAACACTAGATCATCAACATCCATGAATCATACTCATAATCTGACAAAGAAGTAACATGACCTACAGGCGCTCATATAATGCATGTACTTGTTTGTACAAACTTGCAACAAATAGAGAAACGTCTAGCACTCTACACTAAGCCATAACTCCTCCCTCTTATATATACAAATATTACCCAAGTATGCCCAGATAATTGACCAAAAAGCATTTTAGAATCTTTTATCATATATACACTTTGAAGAGAATATGTAATCTACCTTATATCCAACTTAGGATCTGCAGCCCCAAGCATACATAGAAATCGACTCGGGCAGTGCTGCAAATCAAACAATATAGTCGCCCACCTCAGAGCACAAAAACGTACTTCACTTTGTTCCTGATTAAAAGAAGGTACTCAATTTCCTTATAAACTGTATACTCCTCCTGCTATACATATTTACTAAACCAAACAGTACAAAACCTGTTTCAAATTCTCCAACAGTAGTGTCTCCAAATCCTTTAGCACAGTAATGGATGCAGCCTGATGAACGGAGCAAAAACAGTATCAGTGATCTCTCATAAAGGGAGATGCATCAAAACAAATTAAAGTAAAGAAGGCTGTCTATCGGAACAAAAAGTTCTCAAAACCACAAAGGAGGAATCTCTTCCTTCAAACACCCATCCTTAAGTTCTTTTCTTTTAGAATCTGAATACCCAAGAGCACATGACAACTGATTGATCCATGCCCTTAGAGGGGATACTTTTCTCACCTATGGATTTAAGTGACTACTTAACCATATGCTGGAGGAGAAAACTAAGAGAGACTCACTAAATCCAAAACCAAATCAAAATGCCACACTCGAAGAAAGATATTTGCAAGTAGAGATATTACGGGCAATTAAACTACAACTAATTCTTCCACCACCACCACGCATACCACTGCCACTACTACCAACAGACATTATAAGCAATTCCTCCACCACCACCACCACCAACATTTCGGCTACTACACTATAAGCCTTTTTCCAACAAGTGGCTTAGCAGTATGACTTGTTTCATGCGATTGTCAATTATGTATCGTCCGTTGTAAGCTCTAAAGTGCTATATATCTCTCTTTTTCACCTCCTTCAAATATTTTATTTCGCGTCACATAAATAAACCTAAAAAAGTTGTTATTAAAATCACAGTGAGTTTAGATTCCAACATAAATTCTAAAGCCAGGAATCTTTATTAGGTTGCATTAAATGACCAATGGAAAAGCACAAAAGTAACACAAACTGGAGACAAGTCGATAGTCATCCCAATTTATTTTAGGGAAAAAGCTACAAACAACCCCAAACTATGCCCACTATGACACATTTATCCTGAACTTTTTTTTGTAACAACAAAAACCCCAAACTATGCCCACTATGACACATTACCCTAAACTTTTTCTTGTGACATAAAAAACTCCAAACTTGTACCTGTATGACACATTTACCCTCTGTCAAGGTTCCGTTAGATGATTTTTCAGCCAAAACAACATTGTTTTCGTTTCACTTAAGCCATGTGAGCGCCAGGTCAACACTGTTTGCTTTTTGGCATCCATGTAGGCAGATTTTTAACGATTCTCATTGAAAGAACTTTGATGGAGGGTAAATGGGCCACACAAGTATAAGTTTAGGATTTTTGGTGTCACAGAAAAAAGTTAAAGTAAAATGTGTCACAATGGGCATAGTTTAGGGTTTTCGGTGGCTTTTGCCCTTTATTTTATAATACCCACCATTTGACTCTTCAAATTTGTAACACCATGGAAACCAAGCTCTTCCTAAGGTTTGAGGTAATGATATCAGTCTTCTTATCATATTCAAATAACCTTGATTATAAGTGCTTTAGCATAGATCTATAGGTAATGAGATATGGGCCCAGCTATAATCGTTTCAGAAAATTCAATCTTAAAGCACTACCAACAAATTATTTTGTAGTTGATGAAGAAATTTAAACTATTTACACATAAAGCGGAGCAAATGAAGCTCACCAATTGCCAAATCAACCAGTTAGAACGAGCATTTGTCATGTGCTACCAGAAAGGGTTCATCATAAATTATAATTTCATGCAACAGATTGAGAATCAACATTCATATTATCACCCATATGGAGAGACTATAGCAATAGCAACCTTGTATGCAGCAGCAATGGAGACAGTTGCTTCTTGAATTGTAAAACGGAGAGATGGTGCCTCCAACTTCAATGCATCAAAAAGCCGAGCAGCCATATCAACTTTATCCCTAAGAGAAGAACAAATAGGGGATAATCCAACGCACGAAAGCATCAAGTTGTTTTTTTTTGGGGTTTGGGGGGGGGAGGGGGGGGGGGGCGGGGGGCAGTTGGAGAAAGAATCTCGTCCAGTACCGAAAAAGCTGAGGCGTTCGCTTTGCAAGCAACCCAATTGCTTGAAAAGCAAATGTTTTTGTGTCCTTGGCGTTAGTACCTACATGACCAGAACAAATAGGTATTCATCGACTAAATACTTTTTGGATCTTAATCTTAAAAGATGACTGAAAGAACTACAATCAAGGCAACTCTGCTGCATGCTGAGCTCACCTGATTCAGAACTTGAATAATTATCAAGTGTCTTCAGAATTCCACTAAGGATAAGAGGGCCCATCAGATTCAACTGATTAAGCTTTGCCTGAGAAATATATGATTCAATTGGCAAAATTCATCAGTCCACTAATAACAATTTTTTCCAACAGCAGAATGACAAGATAAACTGCTAATATCATAGTGAAAGTTGCTTATAATTTTTTTTCAAGTTTAATTATGAAATGTATCCAGTTAGTGTCTCAGACCAAAAAGAGAGTTGTCAATAGTCCAGTGCTTCTCGAACAAATAATCAGCACTGAGAAAAATGACTAAAGTGACACCACTGCATATGCCTTCAGATATTTTCTTAATGTAAAGAACAGACTCTATTGAAATATGCATTCAGATATTTCACAGGTACAACTCACAAAAAACAAGAAGGGCCCTGTACACACATTACTGTGCTTATTTGACACTAAGAAGCTGGAGCAGTTAGTCTCTCCGTCAGATTGATAAATGGTGAGCACTTGCTAGACACGTAATACCCGGATATTTTATCTCGCATTGTACTTAAGAAGTCGATTCTGGATGCTTGAACTTTTTTAACATTTCATTAGGTAGCACTATTTCCCTTTTTCTCTTTTAATATAGCCTTCGAGGGTGTGTTAAGTTTGAAAGAGGCAGTCTTTAATTGAGGCAGAAGACCAGTTGAACTTTATAGCAGTTAAATAGAATGCTTTAGCAAAACCCCGCAATCTAAGTACTGAGTGGAGTTTACCTGAGAGGTTGAGCATAACATAGGAACTATGGTGAATGGAATTAGGCAATTTTACAATGACGTACATAGATATTTCTTTCTAACTTCAAAGTAGAGTAACTATAAATTAAAACCAATGTATAGCCCTTACATGCTTGAATACCCAAACAGTGAACTCCATACCCAACTGCTTCAATCTTGTGGTGGTACTCTGTCCTATAACATCATTATTTCAAATGTATCAGCACGAAAAAGAATTATGACTTATACAGAAGATATTATCATGAAAAAGGAAGGGCTAAATGGTACATGTACACCATATAATATAATTCTAAACATGAGCATTCATATCTATCTATGCCAAAGATCACAAATTGTTAAACAGGAAGAATAAAAGGACGAATCACTCAAGAACAAGACACAGTGCATATAATGCATAGAAGAGGACAGCCTATATCAGCTACTGTCAAGAGACTATGGTTTTACCTTAGCTACTAATTATATTGCAGTAGGACCCGTGGAATACCGGATACAGACTTTATTCATATTAAACATCCTTTTACAAAACAAGTTGTGCTCATCAATTATATCACACAAAGCCAGGCAGATAACCTTAAATTCAGGGTATAACGGGACAGATACTTCACACCTATAACGAGGCGGCAACTTCAACATATAAAATCACAAATCTACTACAACTTGTGGCTTTGAACATCATCATGCATCAGTCAAAGGCACAAAATATTCAATGAGGGCACTACCACAGAAAACTGGCCGGATCCCAGACACTTATTTTGACACAACAGGAAACTAAAAAGAGTTTCTTAATGGACAGCCAAGACATCCCCCAACTGTACCCCAAAGTATTCTCATCAAACACGCATTCATTGTGCGCATTTGTTGATACTTGATCACAATGCATATCACCCCATAGACCATCATCAGCGTTATTTCTATTGTAGCATTTGCCCGTATGCTGAAATGACATTTCCCAATAACGCATATGCTAGCGCAATTGTTTCCATCTTGCTCTTACATTGTGGGTAACATTTTCACACATTCTTCAGTTACATCATAACATAAACCCAGATATACAATTAGCTCGATATCAGGCACTTTCCTCTCTCCCTTCTCACCACAACTGGATGAAATCTCACTGCAACTTGCACTTCACAGACACTCTCTTATATTGCTTCATCGTACTTTGCTACTTCTCAGACAAGTAGTTACTCTTATAAGTCTGTCCAAATATGGCTTGATTGCTATATCATCATATTGGAAAATTCTAGTCCATTTTGTAAGATAAACTGAAGGAGGAGAATTTTGAAGAAGCTCGTGAGTACCGTATATGCACCCAAATATGCACTGCAAAGTTGATGGAAAACTGTTCGCTGCAGTAATTGACCGACAAAAGACAGACATCAATCTTGCTTTTAAGGCTGAATTGGCAGGAGCGATTTTAGAATCTGGTGCATCACTATCAGCTCCAGTAGAACCTACACAACATGCAAATAATACAACATTAAGGTAAGAGGCATAATGGAAAAAGGAAAATGACTGATATTTACTTCTTAATAGCACCAATAAAGTTGACATGATCTCCTTTATGAGTGTTGTAGAAATAGTGAAACCACCTTATCCTTATCTAATATTTAAATGTTCTAAAACTCCCCCTTACATGTAAATTGGGATAAGATTTAAAGACCAAAGCGCATAGATTGACCAAAACTCAAATGTAAATAAGGGGCCACAGAGAATTAACAGAGGACTTCTCACTCTCATGTCTTTTAGGCATTGTGCGTATAATGCCAACTTATAAAAAACTTAAGCAATTGGATGAAAGTGCAATTGTGGTATATAATGCTATTACAAGCATAAATTATGGTTTGGAGTACTTGGGTTACTGAAAAGCCATTTTCCAATTTGGAGAGTTGTTTGACTTTGCAAACTCTCTGTAATTATGTACAGGTGCAGTACCCCTGAGTTACCATTGTCATAAACTTTTCTGATTATGCTTCAACAAAAGAGTGTAAAAATAGGGCCATGCAGATTTCGCTTGAATAATGAATTACTTACAAAATGGTTCTAGAGATCGGAATTTCAAAATACCAGCATTATGTTATCTTTAATAACTGCACAAATTCATTGGCCGCAAAAGTTTCATAATTTCCTCATGAACTTTTATAATTTTTCTTTAGAAAAAAAGTGCCAAAAATTAAGGATAATGTCGATTTCACTTGAATAATAAAGCACACCAAAAATGCTTCTAGAGATTGAAAATACTGGCATCATTTAATGTCCATGACAGCACGATATGATTGGCCGCAAAGGTTTATGGACTGTCTCAAATGGGCGCTCCAAATGAAAATCTTATTTTTCTCCTGGTTATAGTTTCAGAAAAGTTTATATTTCTCACAAAGTGTTGCTGTTACGACAGCACCATCTAAATGAATTTTTTTCCTGAATGACAGTCTTAAATCCAGCCACTTTCCGGAAAAAGAAAAGTCTCCAGAAGTTGCTGAAAGAAATATTCAGCACAGCAAAAGGCTTATGTCAGTAAACTGAAACTGATCCTGCCACTAAGAACATGACAACAAAAATTCGGCATGTGATACCTACAGCTTTGAAATATTAGCCACCTCTGTAGAACTTTCCTTAAAGTGGCAGGCACTACATTCAGTAATGATATGATCTGGATCCTTCATATATTCGTGAGATTGAAAAAGTGGATTCTATCAACTTTGTGAGGGAAAAAGAAGAATTATAGCCCCATAAACCTCACAATGCTACAAGAAAAATATCTCAAATCTGGAGAAATTTTTCCTTCAAAGAAACGATGAGGCAGACTCCCTCACAGTGATGGAGAAACTGACTTTACAATGGAATTTTATAGACTGTTGGCCTAGCAGATATAATCTTCAATCAAAGATGGCACATACGATCATCATTATATTGTGCCCATATCATATCACATGAACTGTAGACATGAGATGCACCACAAAAATAAGTTAAAGCCATCAATATTCATGAAGGCAACAAAAGATCATTAGTAGAGCGATTCTTCTCCCCCGTCTTCCCTTTTTATAAAAACTTCTCCAAACAGACATGTAAGAGAATGAAATCATCTATGCCAAGCAAAAAACCTACTGGAGTAATCCTCAGTAAAAGACTCATTTCCATGGTCCATACCATTGAATAGTAGAAATAGTCTCTTTATAAGCGATGGATCATCAAAATTTGCACCAGAAGCCTTCTTCTTCAAAAGCTCATCCCCTCTCATTGCAACAGCCTCTTGACTGGTACAAATCCAACATCAAGCAACAATGAGATTCTACACGTGTGCAATATTCGTAGGACAGGCCACCAAGAGAGCAAATATCATACTACAATGCCAAGATACCTATCAGCAGAAGCAGCGAGATAGAGGGGATAAACAACTTCAGGGGTGAGCTCCATAGCTTCGACTACATTCAGAATGCCCAACTGCTTCGGAAAAAGAAATAACACAATTAGAATTGATTGAATAACCTTAGATATTAGAAGAAAAATATTTTAGTTGGTGGTGGCATAGGCAATGCTGAAAATCCACCACACAGATTTGCTTTATAGCTAAGATAACATAGAAAGATTTTCGAATCATAATGGATCAACCTTTCTCATCAAAAGTGTATTACTCGTCAATTGATGTTTCCCAGTAAGACGATTAGCTTGAGCAATTGAAAGCCCAGGCGAGCTTCCTCCACTGTAAAGAAAAAATAACTCCTTGATAAAAAAATTGGAATAGCATCATATACACGGTAATGTAATGCTCAGTGAGGTGATATACAAACCCTTGAGATGATGGTTGATACAAGATATTATGAAGGCAAAATTCAATGAAACCTTCCTTATCCTGAGAATTATTTACAGCTCTATACATTGCAGCAACTTCTGCGTCGACTCCAGTTGAGTGGCATTCACCGATCACCTGAAAGCATTCGATCATGTAGAAGTACACAATCAAGAAACTTCATATTGATATTAAGCAGTACATTGAACACATTATCCATAAGGAAAACAATGAAAGAAAGAGAGGCTGAAAATACATCACTAGGATCAGGTATGTGCAACATTTAGAAGACAACAGGTCAGATTGAACCTAGGATTGGTTTGAACAACCATTTACAAGGACTCTAAAAGACCCAGCCTTAAAAGCTTGGAGGTAATTGCTGAACTTGGAGTTGGTCCTCTCCAAATTATCATGACACAAGTAAAAGATTTTCAATCAACATGACATAGTACAAACAGCTTATTATCATTTATTCTTTCATCTAAGAAAGTAAATGATGCATCTAGTGGTAAAGATGTCATAGTATGGCTCATTCACAAAGATGTTTTTAACATGTTCTTCTCGCGGATAGACATCAAGACATAGAATGTGAAAGAAACAATAACATTAATCAATGTAAGAACACTCAAAACTAGAAGTAGCACCAAGCAATGTGCTTGAATAGTGTATAGAACTTTGCATGCTAGGGGAAATAAAGAATCTTCAAACAAACCTTTGCTGCAATTCTTAGAACAATCTCTTGATGCTGATGAGGAAGCTTTGAAACGTTGGCTGCAAGTATAGGTGCCATCATTTCTTTCTCCTGAAAAAAAAAGCACTTGTATCAAGATTCACACGAAAGATTTTCTGGACAGGCGAGTTCAAGATAAAAGCTTTTCACTTCTCAAAGAGACTTCAGATACCATAGAACAATAACAAACCTTCACATCAGTGCGTTCAAAAGCCATCTCAATATACAAAATGCAGAAGTTTTTGACAATTGATACAGCATGGGCTTCTGTGTATATTCTCCATAAATCTGACAAAGGCAGACCAATTTCAGGTTGATGTTTCACTCTTTTATTAACGTGGCTGAGGATCTCAAGAACCTGTACCAAAAGATAAATTAATCTGGTCATCCCAAATGAACTGATTTAACAAGGACAACACTGCATAAGTATGAAGTAATGAATAAAGCATTCAGTTCAGTATATGAACACTTGTGTAAATGAGAAACAGTTAAAAGACACAAGAAGAGACGTGACAAATTAGGAATATGGCCAACATGGGATCCATTAAGTGACACGAGCATCATTCCATCAATACAATGTCGCATTTCGACAAGTAAATATTAATAAAATACTTACTGTTCATATTGTTGGGACTTCTTCAAAATATGAACTCTAAAAAGAACCAAGAGAATAACAACCACTGTACCAGAAATCAAGGATGGTGTTAAAAGGAAGAAAAACAAAACTTCTACAACATTATCTTTCATTGAACCTCACATTCTACACTATGAGGAGTCTCTGAAACAGGAGGATTAGAAGTCTTTTAGCCAAAGTCAGATATTACTTCAGAGTAGCATAATGTTTGTCAATCCGGTTGCAGAAACAGAAAACTGCTCAAGTCCCGAGTTTCATATATTCGGCCTTGTCCTCACGGTTTTCCGCAAAACGCAAGTGGCAACCATCTCTTAAGAAGGATGCTTGTTATGTACCATTTACAAGGGATTAAGTCTAAATAGAATTGAACCCAGTGAGATTGACTTAGTAGTTTGAGGAATGAACACGTTTGTGGTTTAGGTGCATACGTTCGATTCCCGACACCAAATTTGCAATTAACCTCATTTGCCGGCACACCCCAACTGCTGCTAGCGTCATGAATGGTCCATGAGATCAGTGGAGTATTTCATAGCACAATTACTTATCTAAGCTAGGTTTAATAGTATATTCATATTAAACAGTTGCTTAGCCTAATATGATACAAGGTTAAAGAGTGATTTAAGACGAACTACATTCACAGGTAAACCCCCTTTTCTATTCATTTATTCTTTCTTCTTGATTAGTTGAACAGGTTCTTATACATAAAGGCAACTAAAAATCTTACCACACGAAGTAGTTACAAACAGCAGAGATGCTCAGAAGATTTAAATCTGTGGAACTTGATGACAGAAAAGATGCCAGACAAAGCATTACACAAGAGCAGCTACAGTCCACCCCACCCACTTAAAAGAAAAGAAGAAGAAATACACCCATAATCTAAAGTTTGGTAAATTAAATGGAAGCATGGAAAGAATTGCAATGTAGCAATGTCACCCATTAAGTGTCAAAATTCTAAACAAGTAAATTGAGTTCCTTCCAGCTAACAAAACTATTGAAAAAAAATATATCCAAAAATATATGCAAAAGGCCTTGATGATATTGATTCCAGGAATTCTTCTTGATAACAATGGCAACAAAAAACGAATGTGAGTACATGCACATCAACAAAGACAGTTTACTCCAAGGTTCAAGAAATTTAGAAGTAATAATTCATAAGTAGAAACCACCAGACAGTAGCCCCTTGAAAAGCTTCTTTAACACTATAACTAGCATAGGGTCAAGTTCGCTAAGTTCCAAAGAAAATTGTTCATGAACAGAAAACAAGAATGGGTAACATAAAAGAGAGACATGATGCATCGAAAAAGCTAAAAGCTATTTCAACATTCTTTGTCTAGTTGGATCACAGTAAAGTCAAGAGCAAAAGTTGCACTTAGAGCACTATGATGAAACCACCTAAGTTGACGAGTAATCGGAGAGTATATGGCACACATAAGTGGGACTGCTAGTGGTCAAGTGTAAAGGTGATAATTGGGCAGGGCAGGGCGGGCCCCTTATGCCAACCCTAATTCATTTTCCAACCGCAGCCAAAAAAGTAACGCATAAAATTCACGCCACCCGCTCATGTGCCCCACAAGGCTGAGACAGGCTTTATAACCGAATAGCCTCCAAAAATGGCCTTCAGGCCCATGTGGCCCAGGGGCAACTCATGGTCTGCCAAGCCCATGATGAGATCTGGTCAAAAGGGACATAGAAATGGTTGAGAAGCCCATAACAGGCACTATGGAGGTGGTCACCATGGCTTTTATGGTGGCAATGGTGGTGATGGTGGTTCAAGGGCTGTCCTGTAACAATGAAGTGACTTCGAAGAAATACTGATGATGCTAGTGGTAGTATTGGATCTGGAGCGAGAGGTGGAGGTGGCAAAATCATAAGTGCTCAAGAAGGTGGTCATAGTAGTGGTGATAGGCAACAGGAGACCACTGGTGGTCACATTGGAGTGTGTGATGGGGAGGTGGCAATGGGATTGCAGGGGTGGTCAATTTGAAGTGGTTGTGTTGAATTTTAGGTAGTGGCAGTGACAAGAGGAATGGACAAACATATTACTGCAAACCTCAAGATTTTCAAAAGAGTAACGTAGGGATATAAAGAACAATTCACAAAATGAATTATAAAATAATATGTCAAACTGTAAGACGGTATTTGCACAAGTGAATTATATTCAAGCACCCAACAAATGTCCGCCACATCACTTTATGACTTAATAATTTTGTCAAGCAGTCTTTCTTTATCCGGCATCCGGCATTATTCCTTTTAGAGTTCTGTGCTAATACCTACGGGGTCATTCAACCAAATTTATAGCGTAAATTTGAAATCGCTATTCACAGATTTCCACATTCAATTGTCAATAATCATATTTTCTTCATAAGTTAGAAAAAGTTTCACGAAAGAGAAAACTATCTACTACATCAGGTATATATAGGATCAGACAGAACAAGAGCACAATAAGTGCTCTAACAGAGCAATTGCAGACGAAACTTGCGACTCCAATCCATCAAAAAGCCTTTTATCGCAAAGTGCGCCACATGAGGCCAATGAGAGAAGCCTTCATCGATCATATCCTTTCGCACGTAACGTTCAACTCAAAAAAAAAAAAAAAAATTCTGCGCTAAGTCTTGCAGGGTATCAAGCAGTGCTGTAGCCAACTGACCAAACCTAAAAGCCATAGAGCCACTCCTCGGCCTCACAAAAAGAATCACGGCCACTTTCGGTATCTAAGCACGAGCTCTCAGCCAGTTCCACTACCCCCACACGCGCACGCGCACACGCACGGACGGAGAAATTCGCGAGGCACCGAAGTGGAGCTAAAATCAATCAGACCGACCTAAATGACGTTCGGAAATCACGGTCGCATCGGGAACGTCGTGTACCTTGTTCCGGACGGCGGCGGAAGGGGATGAGAGAGAGGAGATGGCGAGGGGGAGGAGCTTGGAGAGCAGGGCCTGGAGCTTGGAGTCGTCGCAGAGCGCCAGGCGAGTCAGCATCCGGTCCAGCATCTCCTCCAGCTCCGCGTCCGACTTCGCCGCAGGCGGCGGCGGCGTCGGCGTCGACGATTCCGCCATTTTCCGCAATTCGATCGGGGCGTGCGGTGGCGAAGGGGGAAAGCAAAGCAGGTGGAGCAATCGGCGTGTGTGTGTGAGGAAGAAAAATGAATGATGCGATTCTGGTTTTGGAGTGCTTTGGCCTTTTGCTTGGGCTTTTGGCTTGGGCAAGAAACCAAAGTCAAAAGAGTATTTCTCCCAAATCTTTCGGTTCCGTCGAGATTGTCTTTGGGGGTGTTTGGTTAAGTTTGGGAAGGCTTTGGCCACGAAAGGCCCTTCCCAAAATGTTAACGTTAGAGTGTTTGATTCAGTATTTGATTTAGCATTGATCAAATGTTGACATTTAAAATGCTGAAAGCCCAAGGCTGGTCCAGACCAGTCTTGGGCTTTCAGCATTTCACGAATGTTACTGTTCATATCTTCTTCTTTTGTTTTTGGGTTTAGTGCTGTTCATCTTCTTCACTAGAAGGGCCGGCGACCGCGGCCGGCGAGGGTGGAAGGCGGCCGCCTCCGCCGGCGGTTGATCGAGGCCAAGCGACCTCGGCGAGGGTCGCGCGACCCAGCGGCCGTCGCCCGGGTCGTGCGACCACCGCCGAGGATCGCCTCGGCCTCGGCGACCGCCGGTGGCGGCGGATCTGGCTCGCCGGGGTCGCCCGACCTCGGGCGACGGCGCCGGCTGCCCGGCGAGGGGTAGGTTTTGTTTTTTTTTTTTAATAAATAAGATAATTCTAAAAGTGCATTTGCAAAAAAAATTCACCAAACACTATATTTTGGCCAAAGTAGCTTTACAAAATATTTTTACCAAACACCATTTGCATTTCCCCAATGGGCTTTCACTCAAAGGTATTTGCATTCCCCCAAGTAGCATTTTCAAAGTTGAACCAAACAGGCCCAAAGGGCCCATTTGGTTCAGCATTTGAAAGAGGCTTTCGGCCTCAAAAGCCCCTTGGCCAAATGCTGAATCGTTTGGTTCGGCTTTTCGGATTCGAAAAGTCGAAAGCTAGCATTTGGAATGCTGAAAGCCCAAAGCTGGTCCGAACCAGCTTTGGGATTTCAGCATTCCACAAATGTTGAAGCCTATTTTTCCCTTCCTAAATTGCCCTCTCTCAAATTTCAATATTCCGATTTTGCCCCCGTTACTGTTCATCTTCCTCGTCGCGAGGGTGGCCGGCGAGGGCGGATCTGGGCGGCGAAGGGCCGGTGAGGTCGCCCGACCCCAGGCGGCCGTCGCCCTGGGTCGGGCGACCTCGCCGGCCCTTCGCTGACCAGATCCGCCCTCGTTGGCCCTTCGCCGGCCACCCTCGCCGGCCACCCTCGCCGGCCACCCTCGCCGGTGAAGAAGATGAACAGTATAGGGGCAAAATCGGAATATTAAAAATAAAAATTGTCAAAGCCCTTTGCAAAAAAAAATTTACCAAACACTACTTAGGCCAAAGTAGCTTTACAAATTTTTTTTTACCAAACACCACTTGCATTTTCCCAAGTGACTTCACCTAAAGGTATTTGCATTCCCCCAAATAGCATTTGAAAAGTCGAACCAAACGGGCCCTTATACCAGGAAGCCTAAAACAGATAGTTTAATGGTACACGTGTGAGTTGTGTTAGAGAAGTCCCACGTTAGAGAATTGACGTAGTCTAGAATAGTGAATATGTCTAAATTGACCCATAACTTATTGGTTTAAGCTTTTGAATGAAAATACGTCTAACTAGATATGTTAACGGGCTCGGACTTAAGCTCCTTCTTAACAATCTCCCCGGGTGAAGTTATCGGGCTTCTACTACGTGCTCCCAGTACCTACACTGCGAAGGAGGGAGCTCACGATCCATAAGTTGACACCCAAGTCCTATCAATAGTCAGTACCTTTCACGTAATGACGTTTAAGGTTAAAATTATCTTTGATACTATTAGAATTTTGTAACTTATAACACAGCTAATAATTTCCAGCCATGAAAATAAGTTTCATTATATAATTGGAGGTAGGTTTTTACATTGGTTAGTTTGACCAACTTCTTTACTTGAAAGTAAGTTCTTCATATCTGTCATCAGTGATTCTGCATCAGTGATTCTGCCAAATGCTAAGTAATTTTCCAGAAGAGTTGACAATAAATTTTCATGAAAATTTACTGCAGATTACGAAAACTAAATGAAAACCGAAAATACAGGTTTCCTATTCCTCTAGCCTAGTCTGATCTGGTGGGGAAGATCATTCCATAAGATCGTAAATGCTAAATGCCCACAATTTGAATCTATTCTAACGGGCACGACATGCTAGATTTGCCCAAGTCATTTTTCGTCCTTGCATTAGGAATTTCAAGAATTTTTTTGACTGCATCAATTTTTTTAATACAAGAGATGGAATGAGAATGAAGAGCCATCAAATCAACAAATGGAGATAGACCAAGGTATCTCCAATTGCCAATTTTCTTGGACTTCATCTGTCTGTGCAGGTGCTTTATTTCAGCTGCTTCTGCAAAATAGGGAAGTCATCTTCATTATCCACTGAAGATGAGACAAAAAGGGAAACTTTGATATGTCCTGAGATAGATGTCATCGAGAATATGGAGAAAGAGACCGGTGATGCTTCAGGTATAGGTATGTATATATATAGCTACCACCCCAGTCTGTGTTGTTCATAGCCACAAACACCGGGCAAATCATACAAGCTCGACTCATCACGATATCATCCGAGGACTCAAAACAAATCAGCAATGGTAGTGTATTGTTTCTGTCACATTATGGTTCTCATATACCTGCCACTTTCTCCACTTATCAACGTGTTCTTCTTTTTTTCCTGATTTTTCCCTATCCCCTGGTGCAGGTTGACAAGAATGTGGACATGTCCCTTAGTTCGGCAAGCACGAAGAAGGGTGGATACAGGGCTTGCATGTTTGTGTTCGGTGAGCATGTCCATATTAACTTGATTATGAATTTTCACTATGCTAAATTGTTTGTAGAAAGAGAAATTAACTTTCAGAGGAAATTTTTTTACCTTAATTTAATAATGCAGGATTGGCATCGCTTGAGAATATCGGGTTTGTGGCCAACATGTCAACCATGGTCCTCTACTTTCACTATGTTCTCTACTTCAGCCTGTCAACATCTGCAAATCTTCTCACAAACTTCATGGGCACGGTGTGCTTGCTCTCCCTCGTTGGTGGCTTCATCTCGGACACTTATATAAATCGACTCTACACTTGTTTGATATTTGGCTCCATGGAAGTCGTGGTAATTTCAAAAATATACTTTTAAACCTTAAGAGCAGGATAAAGAAGGTCCTTTGCTTCTACTTTTGTGTTCATTGGATGCTGATATCATATGCAGGCACTGGCTATGGTCACAATTCAAGCGTATTCCAAGAATCTTCACCCTGACCCTTGCGGGAAATCATCATGCATTCAAGGAGGCAAGGCACTCTTTTTGTACACCTCTATAATTCTGCTCGCACTTGGTGCTGGTGGAGTTAAGGGTGCTCTTCCGGCGCTTGGTGGCGATCAGTTATATAGGAACAGTGTCGAAGGAGGGAAGGCTCTTGCTAGTTACTTCAATTGGTACTTGCTCAGTACAATTCTTGGAGGGATCGTTGGAGTAACTGGCGTTGTGTGGGTTAACATGAATAAGTCCTGGTATTGGGGATTTTTTATCGGCACGATGACTGCATTGGTTGGATTCGTCATTCTCGCTCTTGGGAAGCCATTCTACCGTTTTCCTCCCCGTGGGAACAGTCCTCTGTTGAAGATCGCACAGGTTATTGTTGTTGACACACCTAACCTGTGTTCTTTGTCATTTAGCATAAGCAGTTATCAGCTGTAATATTTGCATTTCAGGTCATCGTGGTTTCAATTCGGAATAGACACTTATCGCCACCAGTAAATCCTGACCAATTGTATGAGATTAGTGAAAAAGCAAGAGATCCATCTGAAGAGAAAATTCCACATTCCGACCAGTTCAGGTACTAAACTAAAATCTTTCCATAGTCCATATAGAAGGTTACTTGCAAACTCCAAGACGATCTGGATTTCGGCAGTAACTTTGCATTCGTAAAACCAACAACGAAGACCAAAATCTTTGTTTAACCAACAAATCATTATCTGTTCAAGTTTCCATCGTATAGAGGAAGTCCAGATGCCTCAGTCGAATTTTCCCTCTAAAAACGATCCCCATATTCTAAGACTGATTAACGAATCTCTTTGATCAACCAGGTTCTTGGACAAAGCAGCTATTCTCCGTGACGGAACAAATGCAGAACCCTGGAAAGTCTGCACAGTAACCCAAGTTGAAGAAGTGAAAGTACTCACAAGGATGCTTCCCATACTTTTCAGCACAGTTATAATGAACACATGCATGGCACAACTGCAAACATTTTCAGTTTTACAGGGCTACCTAATGGATCCCTACATTGGTTCATTCAAATTTCCGACTGCATCAATTCCCGTTATACCCCTGTTCTTCATGTCCATCCTTATACCCACCTACCAGTTTGTTTTCGTTCCCTTCGCTAGAAAAATCACCGGCCATCCGACAGGCATCACGCAGCTCCAGCGCGTCGGAGTAGGGCTCGTCCTTTCGATCATCTCGATGTCGATCGCGGGAATGGTAGAAGTGAAGAGAAGGAATCGCGCCATTAAAGATCCGTTGCATCCCATCAGCGTGTTCTGGCTCTCTTTCCAATACGGCATATTCGGAATTGCCGATATGTTCACGGTGGTCGGACTACTAGAGTTCTTCTACAAGGAGGCGCCCTCGGGAATGCGGTCACTATCCACTTCTTTCACGTGGCTGTCGCTATCCTTCGGCTACTTCCTGAGCTCCATCTTTGTCAACATCATAAACTCGGTCACGAGAAGGATCGCCCCGAGCAAGCAAGGGTGGTTGCACGAGACGAACCATAGCCCCAACAATCTGAACCTGTTCTACTGGTTCCTGGCTGTGCTGAGTTGCCTCAACCTGGCAAACTACGTGTTTTGGGCTTCCTGGTACAAGTACAAGAAAAATGATTCAGAACTCAAAACCGAAGCCGAGCCGACAGATGGGCAAAACTAGAACATTGTTTCCTCCTTAAATATTTTCCCTTTTTTCTTGTCATGAAGTTATTACCAGAAGCCTGCAGGGTCACTACACGTTAAACACAAGGATCTTGGGAGAGATGATGGAATAAGTGTTTCTGTATAACGTTGTCAATGATAAAGCATCAACCTTTGTGTTCCCTGATGTTGATTTTTTCTTCAATTACAATGATATACAGTACAGTCAATCAAAGTTGAAACATCTTTGTGCAAGAAAAACAATCAACGGCTGAAAAAGCAAGACTGCGCAAGATTGGGTGTCATGCCTCGTACCCATATAATTGGCACAAGCATACTCTCGTTGGTGTTTCTTGCTGTTTCTTGCTTTCTCAATCATCAGCTTTGTCGATCTTTGACACTTGATGCTCGCAGATCCTCGTAATCCTCTGGCTTCTCTACATGTTACCGCACCGCCATGCCTTCTTCAAGTCTCTTCGCAATCCACTCTTAGCATCATCAGCAAAAATCGAATATTTATCACCGTGCTCGAGCCTCTACGAGGCGACCCTGTCGACCCGGAGCGACGAAACGCACTCCGACCTCCTCGCCCTCTGCTCGAACTCGCAGTCGCTTCGCCGGACCAAGCAATGCCACGCACTGGGAATCGTGGGTCGCTCCCTCCCTCGCAGCGTCTCTCTCTGCGCTTCGCTCATCTTGGGCTACGGCGGTCATGGGGACATCGCGGCGTGCCGCGTCCTGTTCCGTCAGACGGTCGTGCATTGCCACACGGCCTTCTTGTGGAACACCCTCATCCGGGCGCACTCCGTGTGTGGAGCTCGTGATGGGTTTGAGACGTACAACGCGATGATCAGGAGAGGGGTTCGACCTGACGGCCACACGTTCCCTTTCGTTCTCAAGGTTTGTGCGGATTTTGTGGAAGTGAAGAAGGGGATGGAGATTCACGGGGTCGTGTTCAAGTTGCGTTTCAATGGCGATGTCTACGTGGGGAACACTCTTTTGCAGTTTTACGGTAACTGTAGGGATTTGAGAGGCGCAGAGAAGGTGTTTGTCGAAATGGCCAAGAGGGATGTCATTTCGTGGAATACTGTTATTGGAGTCTTTTCGGTGAATGGTTTGTATGAGGAGGCGTTTGAGTTTTTCAACAACATGAATTCGAGGTCTGGGATGAGGCCTAATATGGTGAGCGTTATTAGTGTTTTGCCGGTATGCGCCGGACTCGAGGATGAAGTCATGGCGTCTCAGATTCATGCTTACACGGTCAAGGTTGGGTTGGTTACAAATGTGACTGTTGGGAACGCATTGGTGGATGCATATGCAAAGTGCGGGAATGCAGTGGCTTCAAGGCATTTTTTTGACAAGATGGTTGAGAAGAATGACGTTTCGTGGAATGCGATCATAACGGGCTTTGCTTATGGGGAGCGCAATGTAGATGCCTTGGATATGTTCAGGTCAATGGTCTCTGAGGATCTGAAGCCAGACTCTGTCACCATTTCTACTATGCTTCCTGTGCTTGTTGAATTACAGTTGTTTGATTTGGCGGAAGAGTTGCATGCATACAGCATACGAATGGGTATGGAATCTGATTTGTTCATCTCCAACTCACTGATTGACATGTACGCAAAGTCAGGCCATCCAACTAAGGCTTCTACCGTGTTTAACAAAATGAAGGTCTGCAATATAGTGTCGTGGAATGCTATGATTGCTAACTTCACTCAAAACAGGCGAGAGGTTGAAGCTATAAATCTTATACGAGAAATGCAAGTTCATGGTGAAGTTCCAAGCTCGTTAAGTTTCACAAACGTGCTTCCTGCTTGCGCTAGGATGGGTTTGCTTTCTACCGGAAAAGAGATCCATGCAAGGACATTTCGCATGGGACAGTCCTTTGACGTGTTTATCTCCAATGCCTTGACAGACATGTATGCAAAGTGTGGCTGCTTGAACCTTGCCAGAAAAGTTTTCAGCATGTCACAGATAGATGAAGTAACATACAATATACTAATTGTCGGCTATTCTCAAACTAGTTATTGCTTAGAATCTCTTAGTTTATTAAAAGAAATGCAATCTATGGGTATGAACTATGATATTGTTTCCTTTGTCGGAGCTATCTCAGCTTGTGCAAACATAGCTGCAATCAAGCAGGGTAAAGAAATCCATGGGCTACTGGTCAGGAAACAACTTCATACGCATCTCTTTGTTGCAAACTCACTGTTGGACCTATATACGAAATGTGGAAAGATTGACATTGCTAGAGAAGTATTTGACCGTATGCCACACAGGGATGTAGCTTCTTGGAACACTATGATCATGGGTTATGGGATGCTGGGAGAAATAGAGACTGCTATTGACCTTTTTGAAGAAATGAGGAATGATGGTGTGGAATGTGATTCTGTTTCATATATTGCAGTCTTATCAGCATGCAGTCATGGAGGGCTGGTGGAGAAGGGAAGGGAGTACTTTAAAGAAATGCGGTGTCAGAATCTTGAGCCAACACAGATGCACTATGCTTGTATGGTTGATCTTCTTGGCCGAGCTGGCCTTTTTGAAGAAGCTCTGGAACTAATTAAACGCCTAGCCTTTGAACCAGATGTTAATATTTGGGGTGCTTTGTTGGGGGCATGTCGTATGCATGGGAATATAGAGTTGGGCCGTTGGGTGGCTGATCATCTGTTCAAGTTGAAACCAGATCATTGTGGATACTATGTACTTCTTTCCAATTTATACGCAGAAGCAGGGAGATGGGATGAGGCAGATAGAGTGAGAGAATTGATGAAGTCAAGAGCAGTGAAGAAGAACCCTGGTTTTAGTTGGGTTCAGACACGCGATAAAGTGCATGCTTTTGTGGTCGGAGAGAAAGTAGAGGATTTAAATCCGTTTGTTTGGCTTGCAGAAGCTGGCTAGTATGTTCTAAAATGGACATTAAGAAGAGTGGCACATCAGCTAGGATCTCAAATGCTCACTGCAAAGTCTACCCTGCAACTCAAGAACCAAGGGAAAAGACTGTAAGCGGCCTCTCAAGGTTCTTGCTTTGTTATTCCCAAATAATTACATGCTGGCGATCACTATAATAGGTCTAAGACTTGAACTACAGCACAATAGAAAGTGATAGCAAATGATAATGCAATGAGATTACTCTGTTTAGAGACCATCACTGTCAATGTTTCCAGAGAACAGCAGATGAAAGCTTGTTAAAGTACAACAAATCACTTAACAAAAAGCAAGGGGAACATCTACCCTGCACGAGAACGGAATTTACAATGCCCATGAAAATCAAATGGATGTGAACCGTGAGATTTGAGGGAGGAAGCGTCATTGGGAATTGGACACTGTGGACTGTAGAAACTGGAGGTAAGCAATCTGGATCAAGCTCCCGCCAGGTAAAGCAAACTTACTAGAAAAGGGTGTAACCGAGTTTCAGATGAGATGCTTGGTGGGCATGAGAGCGCATTCAGGATCCATCTCGATGCGGCACATGCTACAGCGGTAGGTCAAGACGTTGTCCGATCTCTGACACGCAACACATGGTCGATCGAACACGGAATCCTTGGCTCGGAGGATGAGAGGATGTTGTGGATGTGAGAAATGTTGGATTGCCCGCGGCAATTGCCCAGCACATGATTTGTGAATTCTGAAGGACGGGCAGTGTTGGCAGGAATAGCTCTCACTCGAGCAGCATTTCTTACACGCTGAGCATATATCATCATCATCCACTTCCATGAGAGCCAAAGGGTGCTTGTGCAAGAAATACTGAATTTTCCCCTCTCCGACGAACTCGTATTTTGAGGTTGGCTCGAGAGCACAATCGGGACTCAGGGTGAAATTGCACTCCCTGCACCAATAGAGAAGCTTGCTGTCCCATTGGCCGCAGCCGCAGCAAGCGTATCTCGCTCCACTGAACACCAAAGGCAGAGGATGGAACGGATGGAACGGATGGTGAGTGATCTTCGGGGGCAACTCAGCACAAGATTTATGTAGATGGAAGTCTGCACATTCTCTGCAGCTATACACAAGGTCCAAGCAGGATCGGCCGCACGCGGAGCAATTGATTCCGTAAATTCGGCTGGGATCTACCGGTTTGAGTTTCAAGGGGTGATGGTGGCTGAAGTGTTGAATCTCCATTCTTTTGAGGTCTTCTCCTCCTGTATGGTCCGACCTCGAAGTAGATCGACCTCAAATGAACTTTGTGTATTTAAGCGCGATTTCCTCGCAAACGGTGAAACGGAAAAGGCAAAGTCGTATTTGTATATATTTTCTCGGGTATTTAATCATTGTGTCCTTTTGTTTGCAAGTGTGGGCATTGTCGTTTTGTGTGGGAAAACAACATGCTGTAACTTTAGGAGCACGAAAGCTCTTCTTTATTGGCCATTCCCCAAATCTGTATTTTCAAGTATTTGGCCTACTAAATAACTGCATTCAATCATCCATTTTGCCATTATAAGAGGAATATAATTTGTACGATTTACAGATGAATCATGTAAGCTCCATATCGGACCCACTTCAATCTAATGGCTAAGACCCGTGGAACTACACATGCATCTGGAAATTTAAATATCTAGAATGGTTGGCCAACGTGATTTAGTGATCGGTCCCCGAACGTTTTATACGAAGAAAAACAGCGATTCAACGTCGACCGGGAAAATCCTCATCGATGATTTTGTGGCCAACGATCTGTTGAATTTACAGTTGGAACCTTATCCACGAATTCTAGGGCAACTGCCTCATAAAGCAACAGAAATAATTCTGGATTTTCCATTTTGCTGGAGTGTGGATTTCATTCGAAATCACAAACATCTCAATTCCCGCGATGAAAAAGAGTAAGAACATGTTTCTTTTGTCTCCCCTTTGCAGCAAGTGCAATTGGCATTCACAAATCCACATAAACTTGATGTGTTCTTTCAATTTATCCATTTCCTCATAAATAAATAATTAAAAAAAAACAACTGAATGAGAAGACGAAATCTCAACATGAGCCTGGAGTAGAGAACATGATTTCTCATTTGCGTCAACTTAGCTGAGTCCGACCCCAACCATCATTTGTGTCAACTGGCTGTCACCTGAAAAATCCAACAATGTTTCGGCCATAGGCATTCCCAGCAGCCATGAAAAATCGGTCAATATGATATCATTTGTACAAAAGAATTAGCGTTCAATTTAGTCAAATCGCCGAAATTGGGAAATCCGAACCAATGCTATGATTGATGACAAACCACTGCCGAACAAGAGTCATCGCCACCTAGGGTCCACATTTTCAACTCTTCAAGTCGCCTCCGAATTATATCCAGAGCAACATCAGCAGACCAGTACAGTACCTTATTTTCTACTCCGGGAGAAGCCCGGTCGAGGCTGCTTATGCCAATGTCAACCCCGAGGCTTCTATCATCAATCCTCTTGACCCTCGCCCTCTTGGATTCTAGAAAACTCGCTGCTATGTCTGCAAAATTGCTGTTTTCCCGTGAGATTGAAAGCTTATCCCACAAAGAATCTCCCGCTTCAACTACATGTACAAAATTATTGAGCCATAGTTTCCTGACAGCAGAGGAGCTCCGAACAAAAATAACACCTAAGCTCTTCCCTGCATATAAGTCAAAGGTGGAGTCGGTCAAGGCCCGAAACATGCCTCCATTAGGAAAGAGCATGTTTGCATCCACCACCCAAGCATTGTATCTAAGTTCTAAACATTTCTTAATCACATATGTACTCATCATAACATTCTTGATCAACTCTGGAGAGGAATTGTCAGGTCTCTTCAGTTTGTTAGCCCCCACACTATCCAGAAATTGGTCTGCATCAATAACAGGATGTCCCCTTCTAGCAAGATCAAACAGCAAATCTGATATAGGGCCCATAAGTATGTAGTTACGAATATTCAGCCTCTCAAAGTGGCAGAGCATGTTCCTGATGATGATCTCTTGAAACCCAAAGAGGCTTACAAACACTACAGTCTCATTTATTTGCACAGTGTCAAGAACAACACCAAGGTCATTGAAATTCCTCACGACCCTACCAGGAAGCACCTCTCTAAAACAAAAATCATACCACTTTAGCTTACTCAAGGGCTGCATCTTGAGAAGATTGAAATCATGAGGAGCTTCATTCAGAAGATGAGAATCTGGCCCAGCTGTTTTACCATAGTTGACACCGGTATCTCTGTGAGAGACGCTAAGTGCTCTTTCTTGTAAAAAGTTGGTATAAATGTTGAAATATCCACGATCATGAATGAACTTTATGAACCATGGAGTCCATATTTTCTCTCCCAACCTTCTGTACCATCCTGTTGTCACCTATATTTCCAGACTCAAGTCATCAAATGAACATGATGAGGAGATAATCAATGTGATAAGAACAGAGTGAGAAAGAGATATTCAAACTACCATTCCCTCAAGGATTGGCTTGATGCCCTTCGCCTTGTGATAGTCATACCACCTCCTAAACTCCTTCCAATGCTTTGGAAAGAGAATCTGACCCCAAGTCCCAACTAACTGATACAGGAAAACTCGAGTTCTGCCATCAACCTGCAGTTTGTTTCCATGCTTACCTGGCCATAGCAACCAAACATATTTTACTAGATTACAGAACTGAACATCCAATGAGAAATATGGATCACGCAACTGGAAGGATCCAGGAGATAGTATTGATTTCTCTACAAATTAGTGAGGAAAAAAAACGGTCTAACAATGAAAGGACAACAAGAAATGGCAGCTCATTAAGCATCAACTCTCCACTTGTTTAAGGGCTCATTTTCAATGCTTTCAGCACCAGATATCTTTTCATTTGTTTTTCTTCTTGCCCCCGTCGGCCAGAAAGGCCCCGATCTTGTTTTGTTTTTATGATCTTACACCATACACATCTTCCCATGGACAGGTCATGCAAAAAGTGGGACTAGTTGTCTACTATATTACTGTCAGATATATGCCAGAGATTACCAGTATGGGTTTTGAATTTACCAGCTTTTAAAAAAAAATAAACAGATATGAGAAGGATAACAACATGTTGTTGGGGCACCTATTGAGAAGTCGCACGTGGAACCATATAAATAGAATTTTAAAAACACAGCTTTATCAGAGCGGACTACAAATTATATCGGAAATAATAACCAGTATATACTCTGCCAGCAATTAGTCATTACAAGAAAATACTCTACCCCAGTGTGAGGTATTCAAATATGTTCTGGTGTCCTGGATAAGTCAAAAAAAAAATCTTAAATCTTCTCCAAACCTTAATCGACTCGACCGCGAGGAGTTTTTATGATAGAAGCAAAGATGAGACCACAGTTTTCTAATAAAGTCATCTTGTAGCATTAATATATGCTAAGACTGGATATCCGACATCTTTTGTATTGCAATTGCCGTCACCAGACAACTGTATACTCTCTCTCATGTTGCAATCCACAATGAGACCTTGGTGCCCATTTATGCTGACACCAATTCCACAGTTCCTGAAGCAAAACCCGCTTGCCCAGCAAAATTAAGACGAAATCTCACAGCGTTGATGATAAAAGATTCAGCAGAATCTGCGAAGCGTCGCTACAGAGTCCAAAATCAAGCTACGATCTTAAAAATTTCAGACTTAGCATCGGCGAGATCACAACAAGCCCTCTTGACATTTCTAAGAATACTCGAATCCTTACTGATCACTGAATTAACATCACCTTTCAACCTAAATCCACAGAGCTAGTGTTGCAAAGTTAAGTTAAACCAAACGGCAGATTCAACCGGAGCTCCATTGGCAAGCTACATCATTCCATCTCCCCTCATATAGCAATTCGGCAACTCAAGTAAACTCAAAAATTGCCAAGAGAATTCTACAAATGAAAGGTACCTGGGACAAACCTTGGTCGCTGAAGCGTCACTCCGTATATCATCGGGCTAAAATTCGACGCATTGTAGTAAAAGTTCCATATCACGGACTTAACGAACTTGTAGAAAAGCGGCGAGACCTCCAGGTCATCTTCCACAATGAAGGCGAACTCATCGTCGGAGCTCGGCCACCACGCCTCCAACCACTGCGCCTGCAGCCCCGCGTTGGCCGTCCGGTAGTGCACCAGCTTGTCGCCGTACTCCCACCTGAACCCATCGACGAAATCCAGGATCTCACGCGAGGCGCCGAGGCTCGATTCCACGTCCCCCGACCGGTTGCCGAAGTGGTCGATATGGACGTGGAGGTGGACGGTGTCGGAGAGGTAGTCAGCGGCGGCGAGGGAGCGGAGGCAGCGGGAGAGGGAGTCGAGGCGGTTGAAGGCGAGGACCTTGATGAGGAGGGTGAAGTTGGGGGGGCCCGGCGGCGGCGGCGCTCGGGCCTCGGGGCGGGAGCCGGGGAGGAAGCGGGGGCCGTCCGGGTTAGGGTTCCGGGAGGCGGGGAGGGAGGCGTTGGAGTGGCAGTAGAGGACGAGGAGGACGCAGAGGGAGAGGAGGACGACGACGAGGAGGTGTTGCCTCTGCGGCGATCTCGCCATCGGAGCTCTCTAGGGTTTGCGCCCACAGAGTGAGAGAGAGGGGAGGAGAGATCTCGGGGGAGGAAGATGGTGAAGCTGAGCTTCTTCGGCGTCGATGGCGGAGCGGAAGAGAAGAGCGGTGCTTCGCTGGCTAGTCCGCGGCGGTGATCACGTGACGTTGGCTTCTTTGTCACGTGAATGGAGCGGGTAAATATTCTGAAAATAATCGCTTTTTGTATTAGAGGTGAGCAACAGAAACTAGGGGTGTCAAAACCAAACACAATACCCGAACCGAAACACGAACCGACCCGATCCGAAAACAAAATTTTCTTATTGGGTCCGGTTGGATCTCAACTTGTTTAGATAACAATAAAAAAAATTGGGTATTGTTTGGATCTATTAGGCTTGGGTACCCAAACCCAACCCAAACAATAACCAAAACCTTTAAGATCCCTCCTCCTCCCAGGACCCTGTCGCCGACTTCTTCTTCCTCGGGTTCCGCTGCGCCGCCGTTGCCGGCAACATCACCCTCAGCGGCATCGCCGAGATCGACGGTGTCGGCGTCCTCAAGCTCACCAACGAGACGACCTGTTTCTACCCTAGCCAGGCGGCGGAGGATTTCATCCTTCTGCCGGAGACCACGCCGTCCAACCAGATCTCGCGGCCATCGCGCCGCCGCCTCCGGAAA